GGGCAGATTAGAAATGCAGAGAAATATGTTAGAACTCAGACTTCTTGCAGAGCAATCCTGTAGATATTGACATAGCTGTAAATCCCATGAGTGCAACAAGGCATACTCTCAGGCAAATAGGTATAGGATTGCAGCGTTAGCATTCCTGAAGTAAGGACCAAAACTCTGGAAGAGTCTACTTGGTGTGTTCGAAATGGCGACACACTGAATCCGCATTTGAATCCTTTTGAGAACACACAGGAGGGTCTCTGTAGAGACATGGTTGTGTTGAGAGCCAGTGTGGCGCAGTGGTTAAGAGTGCCAAACTGGGTGCAAGAGTTCCCACTCTACCTTGACACTCACTGGGTGACTTTGGGCCAGTCACAGATTCTTACAGGGAGGTTGTTGTGAGGATAACATGGAAAGCCACGTTGGATTCCGTGCAAGAGGAAGAAAAGTGGGAAATAAAAGCAATGAAATGATAACAGTGGCTCATGTGAATAGTGAAAGAATCTCAGTTTTCAATCTGCGAGGAAATGAACACTTGGATCTGTGGGAAAGATCAAATGGTTGAACCTCTGCGGCTTTATTGATCGGTGGCCCAGTACCTGCATTCGCTAACGATAATATATTACTGAGTAGAGGCAAACTCAACTACAAATCACAGCCCACGTACAGACACTTCTATAACTTGCTAGTGACATACGCCAATACAGAGTGTTATGTTTCCAGATAATGTTGGTACAGCATCTTGATGTCTTTAGGCATGACATAATGTTCTAAACCGATCAGAAATACTGGTAACAATAGCATGGAAAACATTACTGATTGCTTTATTGACAGGTCATTCTAGTAAATTCTTGGCAGTTCAGGTCAGCCAGTCTGTCTGTTTAAACATGCAAATGTGTCTAATGGAGGAACCATTCAGGAAATCTGGTTTGACATCTACACTGCCCAGGGGCTTGCCTCTGGGGGACTAGATGCGTAGGTGGGTCCATTCAGAAACAAATGGACATCATTTTTTCAGTTTTTTTGCAGCTGATGAGAACACAGGTATTTCCTCACTAAAAGTATTAGCCTCCAGCAGCTTCTCAGTCCAGCTAAGAATGCTATCTTCTTAAGGCAACAGCAACACTAAACAGTGACCTGGCTTGGAATTCTGCTGCTTTCTGAGAAAGGGGTACAGGTTTGATTTTATAACGCAAAGGCACATATAAGCAATTTTTTCTCCGAGGATTGATCTGAATTTTCACAACAATAGCAATACTGCAGCATTGTTGTTGTTTTTTGGGTTGGGCTTTAATGTAATCCACAACCTTGTGTTCAACATGCTCAATTATGTGCATGCTCGATTTTGCACATTTGCAGCCTGTTGGCTGCTCTTTGCCGCAGTCCAAATATCCATGTAATACAGATCTGGAAACGAGAAGCAGAGAGACACATGGGGGCATCCAGAAGCTGTGCCGGGGGGGGGGGGAGTGTCATCACTTTGTTTGGCACTAGTTCTCTGTGATTAGTTATTGCCTGGAGTTAGCAAATAGTGCTAAAACAAGGAAAGGAATCTCCTGCTGGTGAACATTTCATCAAGTGTGGAACGTATATTTTAGAGCTCTTTTGGCAGCTGATGAGAATGGCCAGATCCAAAGAGTTAAAAAGCTCTTGTGCTGACTGGATTCCCCACCTGGATGCCTTCCAGCAAGGTTGGCCTACTGGTGCCATCATCCTGAGATGTCTTGGAGGGAGCCAAGTTGGGAAAGGCTAATAATGTACACTGTCAGGGAATCTCAGTTTAGCAGCCTGTGAGAATGTATGCTTGGATCCACAGGGAGACAATTATGTTATGAACCTCAGCAGTTTTATTGGTAACAACACCCAGGAAACCCCTCTGCAGAGGTAAGCCTTCATGAACAGCACTGTTGGGTAGAGGCACACGCACCAACTACAAGTTCCAGAACATATGCTGAGTGTTTTATAGGTTTTGAGTCCCATACACAGGAGTTGGGGTTGATGATGAGCAAAGAATGGGTACATACCAACAGATAATGTATTCATGAACAAAACAATGTGAAGAAACTTCAGAGGGGGCATGACCTAATGGTACAGTAAATATCAGTGATTGATTGATATGGCAAAGGGAAAGGCACATGAATCACAAGTGGGTTTGGGTGTGGGTACTGACTTGCAGGAAACTAGTCAGTACAGTTTGCTGCAGTCCAGCGGATTAACAGAACAAAAGCCTCAATGCAGTGAAATGCTAACAATGGAACAAACTTAACTTTGCAACTAAATGTAGCAGGTGCCTAGGGTCTCAGTCTCTTAAACAGATGACTAAAAAAGCTTCAGGGAAACAAAGGATCCTGACTTGGAATTCTGATTCTTTCTGGGCAAGAGGAGCAAGAACACTGCAGGTTTGATTTTATATCACAAAGGCACATATAACCAACCGTTCTCTATGAAGATTTATTTGAATTTCCCCAACACCAAAGCGAGCCTTGGCAAGTGCAGCTTTGGATATCTGGTAAGACAAGCTGCACCTCCTAACCTTCCTTCTGCACCTCTCTAAATGATACACAAACCCCACTCCCCATTGCATATGGCTTATGCTTCCGACTGGGTACTCCTGGCTGCTTCCATCATCCTCAAAAGCAGGCATTTTCCAGATGGACACAGGATGGAAACAGATGCTCACCAACTGCAGGATGACAGTCACTGGCCCTCAGACCCACAGAGGGTGCAGAAGGTCTCATCTGCCCTGAGTCGGGAGCCATCAGCCATTGCAGGGAGAAATCGGGCCCTGGGCATCTGCTGCAGGCACTCCCTCCTGGACATCATCAGCGGGTCAAGCCAAAATGTAAGAAAGCTAGCATCCCTTCCAAGCCAAGAGGATTAAACTTAGTCAAACCAGTGCATGCCAGAGCTTCTGGCTGTGCTTCTGGCTTCATTTCTGGGATGCCTCATTGCTTAAACAAGGTTCACTTACATATTCTGTTAGAGAAATTTTTACCTCTGTGCCTGTACATTTGGGAAGCGGAAGGAGTGGTGCAGCAGATGCTGTCAGACTGCAGCTCTCTGCATCCCTCTCTACTGGCCTAGCTGGGGTTAAGGTTAGGCTGTCCAGCTGCATCTTGAATGCCTCTAGGATGGGAGATCCCGCAAACTCTAGGCCACTGGTTCCATTGTCCTACTGCTCTAACAGTCAGGAATTTTTGCCTGGTACTGAGCCAGAATCTGGCTTCCTGTAACTTGAGCCCATTATTCTGGGTCCTGCACTTTGGGATAATCCAGAAGAGATCCTGCCCTTCCTCTTTGGAACAGCCTATCAAGTACTATCGTATCTCCCCTTATATTTCCTGCTATTCAATGATGAAACATCCATTCAGTTTTTTGTGCACACAATCGAGGGCATTCTGCTGTCCGATTGTCTGCTTCTTCCGTGTGTGGGCCAGCCAGCCAGCAGACCATTCCTTGGCAAAAGCGGAGAAGGGAGGTGGCATTTTTTCCTAATTCACTGAAAGCTGAGCATGGGCAGACTTCTAACTGTTGAAAATCTAAGTTCAGCCACCAGATCAAGATCTTTTTTATTTGTTCAGGCATTTTTACTGACTATATTGACATGATTCACACCTCATGAGCAGTGAGCCACAGTTGGTTGTTGTGTCACCAAACCAAAGCCAGCCCAGGTTACCCTCCGTGACCTCTTCTTTCATTATGTGTCTTCGTTTGAAACAAACCACTGTGAGAACCATGGACTATTCTAGGAGTTTGAGTAACCATGGAGAATACCCACTGGTTGGCAAGGTGCTCAGCAAGAATTTTTGCCACCCTTCCCAAGCCTGCCCTTGTCACCACCCTTCTTTGGCTTTTTTGGATTTTAACTTTCTTTCCTGGGGATTGTGATAGGCAGCTCGACATCTTTTCCTTGCCCATGGCTGGCAAGGAGAAAGGTCCCCTACTAAGGTGCTACTTGGGCATTTAGAAGAGGCTGTTAGTGGCCATCAGAATGGGGTGTGTGAAAGGCAGCTCTTAAGCTGCCCTTTTCAGTCTCTAAAAACAATAAGGTTAATTTTTTAAAAATTTTGCCTTCACTTTTGCCTCTTTTCATAGTTAATTGTTGCTCCGCTTTACTTTTACTTGCTCCGTTTACTACATGACATTCTTCTTTTTTCTATAGTATTGTACTTGCTATCAATAGACTTTTATGTCTTGTAAAATGCTCTCAATTCTGCTTGGATTGAGACATTTTTAAAATAACAGTGCATTCTCATGTTGTTAAAATAACTCCTTTTGGTTGAAAGGAGCTTGCCTTTTTAGTGAAAGAAAGTGTTATTTAGATCAGTGGTTTTCAAGCTTTTCACAGCTGGGGAGCGGCGAAAACAGGAAAACCACCTTGGAGATCACTGAAGTAGAAACCAAAAGCACCGTACACATAATACAATATTCTGTGTATTCGTTTCTGAACACAGTACCCAAAAAAGAAAAAAATTCTCCAACCAGAAACCAAGCAACAAAAAATGCCAACAAAAGAACAACATACTGAAATCAGTGCAGCGCGGCTCCCAGCTGGCTCCCACCCAGCTATCTCTCCCCTCCCTGTCCCCCACCCCCGGGCACTGGTGTACTCCCAGTGAATGCAATACCAACCAAGGAAGAGGTGGTGAAACACAGCCAGCCCCCGTGCTGGTCTGTGGTGCGTAGAATGCGGCCCCATCATGGACCGGCAGGAAAGCTCCGGAGTATTGGAACTGGTCCGTGGACTGGCGGTTGAAAACCGTTGCTCTAGACCAGGCTTCTCCAACCTGATGCCCTCCAGGTGTGTCAGGCTACAAATCCCAGCATGCTGGCCAAGGTGTGCGAGGAATCATATTCTAAAAGATTTGGAGGGCATCAGGTTGGGGAAGGCTGGACGTGTTATTCCCAGCAGAGATCTTTCTACAAAAAAGGAAGTTTGGAGAACAGTTTTGAGAGTGCTGAAATCTGCCTCTTGCAAAATATTGCTTATATTTGGTTTTTTTACCTTACAGGAAAAACGCCCAAAATAACTCTTGTATAGAGCCAATAGAGTCGAGCCTTTTTCTACATTATTCACTTATTCCATCGGTAAGTAAACTACCTGTTTGATAATAATTGACTACTTAGTTTTTCCCAGTTAAACTGTGCACCTCTAACTTAGGAACCCATTTTGGTATGTGGGAAAACTTGCAAATGTTTGGATTCACTGGGTGCTTTTCTTGAAACCTTTCTGCACACTGAAAATTTCTGCTTTCCTGAAATTCTGATTGTCACAGGCTCAGAGTGACACTGTGGGAAACTGTTGTGATTGTTAGAATTACTTGCATCCATCCACACCTCCTAGGAATTTGCTATATGCACAGTCTAAGGCCCTGAATGACCTAGAGAGTCTGAATAGCCAAAGATTTCTGGATCTTCCCCAAGAAATAAGGAGTTTTACTCACAGTGGTTCTCAGATGTTGAATCATGGCACACACACAGTTCTTCACAATATGGTTACAAGAGGTATCTAACAATAAGACATCCTTGCATCTAACCGTAGAAACGTGCAGTGTTATGTTTACCTCATAAAAGAGGCCAGCTTTCTGGAGTGTGGGTCTGACTTGAGCAATCCAGGTTCTGGTCCCTGCTCAGCCATGGAGCTCACTGGGTGACGTCGGGTCAGCCACATACTCTCAGCCCAACCTACCTCACATAGTTGTTGTTGTCAGAGTGAGAGGAGGAGAATTATGTAAGCTGCCCTGAAGTCCTTGGAAGGAAAAAAGTGGCATATAAATATAATAAACAAATAAGAGCAAGGCAAGTTTCACATGGAATGCTTTGCTTAGCAGTGCAAGTTTCTTGTCTCTTCACAGGCTTCTGTTGGGGTTGGTTTCCTTCCTTCCTTCCTAGTTGGCTTTCTAAGTTAGCAGTCATGCATAAAAACACAATAAGTAGTATTTTAAAAAAGTGACCAGGAGTGTCCCCATAGGGCAGATGGTGAGAGGTGTCCTTTTTCAGCTGCCTACTTCCCTTTTTCTTCTGGGACCTCTTCCACAGGTTCCTTGGTGGCAGGGGACGGTCCAGCTAGGACAGGCTCTGCTGTAGCATTCACCACCCTGCTTCCCTTTGTGTAGACTTTTGAACAGGATGTGACAAGTAAAAATAATTGAGCCTTCCATATAAGATAGGATGTAGCTGTATGGAAAGGTTTTCTACAGTGGAGGAAGGAAGGACAACAGCCCAGTCTTTCTGCCATTTAGGCAGGACCTGGATTAACAGTGGGATGCCCTTTCCCTCTGAGACGTCTGGATGCTTCAAGGCTGAGGCTGGGTATGTGGCAGGTGGAGGAGGAAATCCAGCAACCCCCACTGCCTCTGCTCTTCGGAAACCAAATTAGGTACTTACCAGTCTATGCTTAAGCACTGGAGTCAGTACTGAACCCAACTCAAGAACCACAGAGAACCTAAGCTAATTAACCACTTTATCTAATAGAAGGGGAAAGGGAGATTAAAAAGGATAAAAATTAGGTAAAAGGGCAAAGGACCACGAGACCCAGGAACGTACAATACACCACCTTCAAGAACAACAGCCAGCAGCTACCCCTGCTTTTGCATTGCTTAGAGAATGCCTCCCATTCCAGTAAAAGCAGAAGTCTAGTCCAAATGGGCCAGCAAAGTCCCTCCAGTCCATTAGCATTCCAGGAGGCACACAAAGGCCTCAAGCTTCACCATTTCACTGGGCACCATCCAACAATTCTTCCACTCTCAGATTGTAAAACACAGCTTGGTCTGGGCAGTATAGCAAGGCTGTGTCTCCAGGACAGCACTGCCTGGAATAGTTGCAATAGGCTGGCAGTTAATCATCTTGGTCCTTTCGGGTCATTCCAGGCCAGAGATCTGCTAAGAGAGAGAAGCTGTACTATTCTACCCTTGCCCTGCTAAGCACTGGCCTTCTTCACAACCATGGAAAAGAATATCTACTGTTCCCTTGCAGTGCACTTGTGATGTTTACCAATTAGTCTGCCTCTGACACTAATACCATTTTCTTCCTCACTTATTTTTGAATATCCAAATATTTTCCCTCAAAGACTTGCATGCCTGTTGGGTATTTTTCCCCTTGGATATATATTTGGGCGTTCTCCCTCAACAGCCCAGATTTCTGGGTTCAGTTGTCCTACAGAACAAGCAAGATCAGAGCTTTCCTGGATTGCTCAGCAGACTGGAGGTGGGTGTGCATTCGGAGGGCAGCGTACCCCTCATTCCCACGTGCTCCCAAACAATCCATGATTTAAAAAATGTGGGCTCTTTCATCAGGCAAATCAGGCCAGGGTGTATGGAGGTATGTTTTAATGGTGGGTTTTAGCAATCTTTGGAGATCCCATAATAATTGTAGCACAACATGTATGATTTAACATGTTGGAGCATTAATCTCACTTGACTCAGAGATGTGGCTACCTATTCTGCAATGCTATCGAGTCTCTGCAGAAACAAAACTGTAGCACTGTAATGGTTCCCCTACATTTTTCAGACATATGTGAAACCCTGGCTGGGGATGAAGGGAGCTGTAGTCAAACATGGAGGGAAGTAGATGGGGAACATTTCTTGATCTGAATTATTGGGTCCTGCTATTCTGCATTAATTTCTGAAGACTTCAATGCCTTTTTTACCCTCTCAATGCTTCCCCTGTACTTGCAGTTCATCATCATTATAGTCCTGGCCTTTCTTGAAAAGAGAGCAAGAAGATGCTGCTTTGATGAAAATTTCTCCTTACTCAGCAGACGCTTCGGGGTGTTGATGTGAGTTGGAGAATACTGTGCGCCCATCCAGCAAGGGTCATCCTTGGGTGAAAGTAGTAATTTTTCCAGATCTAACCATAGGCTTCTAGGAGGGACAGGTATAGCATCCTTGAAAGGAACTACCCTTTCCACCCAAAACAACAGTCTCCTACCGCTGCATCAGGGAAGGACAAACCTCACAAGGGCAACTGGCCTCCGTCTTTGTGGGCTGGTCCCCAAGTCTTCTGACTGTAGAATCATTCAGTGGCAAAAGGCCCGAGGGGGAGAATGCTTCCAAGATGGTTCTGGGCAGGTTTCTTCTAGTGAGTTGACCAGGCCTCTCTCGCCCAAGGTCCTGAAGATGGGGCAAGACAATATATTGCAGAGTAAATGCAACACCATTCAGCCACCAACAACCTAATATATATGTGTGCGTCTGTGTCTGCGTGTGGTGTGCATCAGTCTCAGGCAGAGATTGTTGTGACACCAAGGCTGTTTCAGGTTTGTGAGAGTGCCCATGAAATGTTAGAGGATACATGATTCCACAGCAGCCAGGCCTTGGATCAAACCGGGAGAGAGAGCAGTGGAAGGGGAAGCTTGTGAAGGAAGGAAAGGGGAGAGAAATGAAAAGGAAGCTCTGCAGCATCAGCTCATTCTCTGGCCCGCAGTTGAGGAGAGTTGGCTGGTGTTGGCATGGGCGGATTGCAGCCCCCACTACAGCCAAAGCTTGTTCTAGAGTCCTGGGGCACTGGGGAAAAGCCCTCACTGCCCATCTTGTTGGATTCAACTGTGTCCAACAGGTAATTATGGAAATGAACCAGCACATGTAAGGAAGGGGAAAGAAACCTCTGTAACTTCTTTTTCTACCCCAGTTGTGCAAGCCCAGTCAAAAGTTCTAGCAATGAGTGATCCTTTTAAGTTTGGGGATGGAAAGTTATTTTAATCATTCTGAAACAAGGAACATACCTTTTCATGTGAGGATGGGGAACTTGTGGCTCTGAGATGATGCTGGAATCCACTCCTATCAGCTCTGCCCAGCATGGCCAGTAATCAGTCATGGGAATTGTAGCCCAACAGCATCTGGATGGCTGTAGGTTGCCTGTAACTACTCTAATGTGCACCAGAGTTTTGTTCCAAAAATTGTTTTGTTGATTTGCAGACCCTTTGATTTTGTCGACTTGAATGGCTCGTATAGCAACCGATGGTCAGTTGGATTTGCATTTGGTGTTACTGCAGATAAAGTGATGTTCCTGTTTCTTGACATGTACATCCCAGTTACAATTCCTGGCTGGGCTAAAGGTAAGCATAACTAATCATGCTTAATAATAATAATAACAACAACAACAACAATAATAATAATAATAATAATATCTTGGGTAGGGTGGAATTTAATGCCTTTCTTCCCTTTTAGCACTGTGCATATGCACTGTGCATATTCTTGCTTCACACAATTGCAGGGGTCTGTGATGGCTAATGAAAACCCCAGTGTTTGCCCACCATGGGACTAGATCAAGAGGAATTCATTTCCTCAGACCAAAGATGGGGCAATTGTCAATGAGCTACTCTTTTGTTCCCATGTTGGCTGCTGCAGCACAATACAATAGATGTTTACAGAGGTCAAACCAGCTATGTTCCTGTACAGATGCCATCTCAAATAAATGTCTCCTTGATTAATTTAACTGCTCCCCGCTGCATCTCAATTATTTTAAAATCCAGAGTTTCCCAAAGCCATATCTTTGCAATTGATTTTCATACTTCACTAAATTTTCAAGTTGTGGGCTTTCCCTCACTGGAGATGTTCAGAAAGCACTGGACAGTCATCTAAATGGTATGGTGTAGCTTAGTGTCCTACCATAGCCGGAGACTGGACTGATGGCCTTCTGGCCCGTTCCAACTCTGCTATTCTATTATTGTATGCATAGAGGATGGATGTACTCTAGGACCAACAAGCTGCCAGTGTGGCTGTCAGGCAGACCTTAGTGAGGAAATTTTCCATAATGGGGCAGGGGGCCACTACTAAAAAGGCCTTCTCCCTTGTTGCTATCCTCCAAGAGAGGCATTTTGAAGAAGGTCTCAAATGATTATCATAGTACAGTGGTACCTTGGCTCACGAATGCCTTGGTTCACGACCAAATTGGGTCGCGAACAAAAATTTCATGAAAATGTTGACTTGGGTCACGAACTCCGCATCAGGTGGCAACTGCTATCGTGGCCATCTCCCCCTCCCAAGTGGGGAGATGGCCAGGATCACAGTTGCGTTCATGCAGGGAAGACATGTGTGATCACGGGCACGCTCCTGCAGGAAAGACAGGCGCAATCCCGGCTATCTCCCCACCCCACTGAGTGGGGACATGGCTGTGATCGTGCTGGGAGGGAGATGGCCAAGATCGCGTCCATCTCCCCCGCCCCCCCCAGCCCGCCGGGATGACGGGCGCATGCAAGGATGACAGGCACGATCTCGGTTGTGCTGGCAGGGGTGGGAAGATGGCTGCACTTGTGCTTGGGGTGGGGGGGTGAGATGGTTGTGATCTTTGTTGTTCTTTGTCACTTTGCTTCACATTTTTCTGATTAAAAAAAAATTGGTTACAGAACGAATTAACCTTATGGGGAAATTTAACTTGGCTCACGACCAATTTGGGACACGACCAGAGTCCTGGAACGGATTAAGTTCGTGAGCCAAGGTACCACTGTATAAGAGCAGATTCATACTGGGGGCATTGCTTGTTGTTGTTGTTAGTCGCGGTCGTGTCCGACCCATCACAACCCCATGGACAACACTCCTCCAGGCCTTCCTGTCCTCCACCATCCCCCGGAGTCCACCCAAGCTCACACCAACCGCTTCACTGACTCTATCTAACCACCTCATCCTCTGCCGTCCCCTCCTTCTTTTGCCATCAATTGTTCCCAGCATTAGGCTCTTCTCCAGGGAGTCCTTCCTTCTCATTAGGTGGCCAAAGTATTTGAGTTTCATCTTCAGGATCTGTCCTTCTAAAGAGCAGTCAGGGTTGATCTCCTCTAGGACTGACTGGTTTGATCTCCTTGCAGTCCAAGGGACTCTCAGGAGTCTCCTCCAGCACCACAATTCAAAGGCCTCAATCCTTCTGCGCTCAGCCTTCCTTATGGTACAACTTTCACAGCCATACATTGCAACTGGGAAAACCATAGCCTTGGCTATATGCACTTTTGTTGGCAGGGTGATGTCTCTGCTTTTTAGTATGCTGTCTAGATTTGCCATAGCAGTCTCCAACTATTTTTACAGACTTACTGATGACTCTGGATTGATTTTTTCTGCTGTTATTTTTTTGTCCACCGGATTGTGTCGGGCACTCTGTAAACTTGCTTAGGAGCCCCATCTCAAGGCAAGGAAGATTTATCCAATTGCTGATATGTTTGGGCAGGATGCAGAAACTTGGACTGACAGGGAGTGGCTCATTCTTTTGAGTCAGAGAAACTGTAGCAAAAAAACCCAGTTTATCAGAAATGTACGGTTGGTCCTCACTGGTAATTGGTTCTGCATTTCTTCTCCCTAGCAATTGAAAATAAAGCTGTGAAGGTAAAGCAGCATTATCAGTTCTCAGGGCATAACTTCTTTAAGTGAGCAGCAGCAAACAATTACATGGAAAATGCTAGGCCTCAAGATGGCATAACTGTCAGAGAACATAATGAATGCACGCTCTCTTTTTTTGCAGTGTTTTGGGTTCTCCTCATAGCCATCGAAGTGGGCATTTCCTCATACCCTTTCTTTGTGTGCCTTTCAACAAGACACAGGCTTACAGGAGCCATCTTTGGATTTCTTTACACAGCAACCTGGTGAGCAGGGCATTAATTTGGGATACCAGCTTGGTAATGATACTGACAGACATGGCAGGGATTGTGGGAGCATTAGCTGCAAGGGAGCCCAAGGGTAGTGTTGCAGTCATTGCTAGGGAACAGATGTGGCAAAATGGTGCGTGGCTCACAGTACTGTCTGTTTGGCTAGGTGTGCAGCTTCTCATGAGGTCTGAGCTGCACTGTGAACTTCCTTCTGATTCCTTCAGATCAGAACTGCCAGGAATAAGAACATCAGAAGCCCCCAGATAGATGCTATTTATTATTATCTTTGTATATAATGTTTTCTATGTATTTATTTCAATAATAATTATATAATACAATGTAATACAAATTATATATGATGTATAATAAAATATACAAATAATAATATAATATTGATATAATGCTAATAATATCATCATCATCATCATCAAACAACATAGGGTCGGATAGCACAGGAGACTCAGCAGGACAACCTCCCCCACCCTATAACCCCCCCCCCCCTACTGAAACAGTCACTGCCATTCCCTTGTATTCAGTGAAGGAGATGTCTGATTGCTGGTGAAAACAACCCAGACACCCCATGTGTTCAGGGGAGACACTGTGGTGCAAGGAGGGTCAGAGGTGGAGGATATGATTTAATGAGTCCTGTAGTTTGACACCCCATGCCCTGCCAGCAGTAGGAACCTTCCTCAGGGTGAAGCTAACACTAGTGGGAAGAATTCAGTTTGTAATTAATTTCTTGCATGAGCAGTACTCAGTCCCTCATCAGTTGGCTCATTAACATGATGGATGTATTTTGCTAGTGTATTTTGCTCTGCCCTCTTTGCATCACAGGGTTAGTCCTGTCTGGCCCACTTTAACATCATAAAAGCTTCTACTTATGAGCTTCTCTTTCTGAAGAAAAAGAAAAGAAAAAGAAGTGAGGGAGGGAGATGGGTTCAAAGCCATATATAAGGTCAAAAATGAAAACACCAAAGGAAGAGCAAAGCACTGAAAAGCGTGTTCAGGATAATGAACGTTGCAAAGAACCTCTTGCCACACAAATCCATATGGCTTTCTCTGTAATCAGAAATAACATTATGACAGAGGAGTGCCTGTGGGATTTGGAGCTAATAATGGGGAAGATGTCATTTAACTCTTGCAGCAACATTAATCATTTTTTAAGTGAGTGCTCTCAGCTAGCCAAATAGCTCAGCTGTTATTTTTTTCTATTCTATTCAATGAAAACCAAAGCAAAGGATATGGTATTTTTTTCTGGTACCATATTTCTGAAGAAATGCTAAATGTTTGTTATGTGTTTGTCATATGTTACGTATTTTGATGAAGATCTGAGCAAGGTGATTCAGAAAGGTTGGGTGGTTTTATTGGACATTTTTGGAATAAATAGTGGCAAAAGATTCCCATGCCATACCGGACCAAAGATCACTCCCTCAACTCCTACAACTGAAGCTGTTCAGCTGTTTCAGGGTGATATGTGTTCTTTCCCACTTGTATGGATGGGCAAAATATAAATTACTTTTTCTGAAAAATATGAAAGAAGATTGGACTGGAGAGAATAAGAAAAAGAATAGATTGACTTTGGGACATGCAAGCTTCATGGGTCTTCAAGAACAGGCATATAGGCAGTAAAATGGGACCTAATTAATCTTGTGCAACATGTATTATCTGTTCAAAGTTTCCCCACCTAGGAAGGCTTCATGCACCACTATGATTGGAAGCACATCAGTTCTCTAGATGCTTTGTTCTCTTAATGAAGAACATTACATGGGGTTATCACTGTATTAGACAAGATCAAGAAGAATGTGGAAGAAGCAAAATTCCCAAGCAGTAAACGTGCAAGCTGCAATACAAGAACTGCTCATGAAATGCAAAAAGTTGTTGGATATGCTTAGGCAGGTTTCAAAACTGAAAATTCTCAGGATCTTTTTTGTAAGCAGAGCTTCACAAACTAATCAAGGCAAACAAAAGCTGCAAAATTGTCATCTACATCTCAGCTATTAATAATCTATATGAAGTTATCAGAGAACTTTCCTGACAGAAGAAAGGTTGAAATTGCCTTTCAAGCAAAGAAGCTCTTTAAAAAACTAAACTAAGTGAATGTGAAATACATTTTAGCAGGAATTTTGAAATATGGTTATAACCAGTGCTTTTTTGGTAAAAAAAAAAAAAAAAGGTGCCAGAACTCACGTCTTGGGGTCACACTTTTACACAATGGTCGCCGCTGGCAGTAAGCACTCAGCACGTGACCACACAACCGATCCCAAGCCGGGCAGTGTCCGAACCTGAGCAGCGCCCTCACAATCAGTGCCAACAATCAGCGCCGACACACAAGCAGCCCGCAGGCACTACGTTAATGATTTCTGCCACCGATCTGCTACGCTCAACAGGGCGATTCACAATCACTTGGAAAAATCCATCAAAAAAAGGTGCTGGAACACCATTCCGGTGCGTTCTATGACAAAAAAAAGCCCTGGTTGTAACAGTTGTAGAAAAGTTGGTTGAGAAGTCTTTTGGCATTCAGGATGGTGCATGGCTTATCAGCGTGGAATTCTGCTATCATTATACAAAAACAATATTTTAGAACTACCAGAATAGGGACTGCTGTTGAACTTCCACATTCAGGAAATTAAATTGATGACACAACAGCTGAAACAGCAAAGCAACAATGGACTGCCTTAACTACAGCTGCCAACAGTGAATTCAAGGCTTACTTTCAAGTGTGCGTGGCAAAAAAAGTTGGACTTGGCAAATTTTAGAGTGGCGTTTTTGTGCCCAGCAAGACATTCTCAGACCTATGGAATGGTATCAGAGTGAGCCTTATCCAGTTCTTCGTCATGGCCTCTGTGCATCACACATATGGGTGCTGCGCCTGCGCAGTGCCTGTAGCCAGGAAGATTTAAAAGCTTAATGGTTTTGGTGGGAACTCTGCACCTCTCCCGCCCCCCCCGATAGTATAAGAAGGCGGAGTGCCCGCCATTTTCCCAGTCTCCTTGCGACCGCCATTTGCTGTGCCTTGAGCCTTTCATCTCTCAGTTCGTAGCTATATTGTGCATCTTGATCCCCTTTGAACTGTTGCTCTCTGTTCTCTTAGCTTTCTTGTTAAGATTTCCAAGTTACTCATCCCTCCCCATTAGACGTTTTCTTCACATCCCCCCTTTTTACCCCTTCCTCCCCACCAAAAAAAGTTTATTCTCTTCTTACATTCCTTGTCTTCACTATCTTCTCCTTTTCAATCTCGATGGCTCAGCGTGTGGCTTTCCGCAAGTGTTCTCAGTGTGGGGCCAAGATGTCCCCCACTGATCCGCTCGGAGAAGGTCACAGGATGGATAAGTGCGGCCATTGCCAGGCCTTCACCCAGCAGGCGTGAAAAAACCGGGAAAACGACCTGCGCAAGCTTCTCTGGGACCAGGCCTTGGTCGCATCTGATCAACTGGCGGCCCAATCCGCTGCGCACCCCTCCTCTTTGGCTGCCCCTCCACCCCGCCCATCGGCTGATGGTGCTACTCTGCAGGAGGGCAAACTCTCCACTAAGTCTCCTCACAAACAAAAGGAGAAGAGGAAGCACAGCGGATCCGACAAGTCCTCAGGCCATAAGAAGCCTAAGAAGGACAAGGCAGACAAGACGGCTCACAAGACCAAGAAGGCCGATCAGCCCCATCTCCGTGATTTGGGATCATCTGTTCAGTCGGTCCCAACGGCTGCTTTAGTACCGACACCAACCAGACTGGCTCTCCAACTGGCAATGCAGGTGATCCCACCAGGATCCCTGCGATGGGTTGCTCCTTCCATCTTGTCCTCGCCAGAACATCAGGAAGCAGCCATACTGGGATCGATTTCTGACAGAGAGATCTGGGACTCTCCACAGATGGCTCCTCCAATGGCACGCTCGCCTACAACGCAGCCTTCGCCTGAGGCTTCCTCGAGGGCCCCACCTCAGCAAGTGCGGTACCAGCAGCGTGCTTCCGTCCGTCCCTCCGGAGAATGGGTGCAAGCCCATTGTGAACCATGGGATGACTATGCACCATATGGATACTATCCATCGGTATGCCAGCGTACACTGTCTCCGATCCCGAGGGATGCTCCATCGACGTCTGTGGCCCTTTCTCACCGGCCGACTCCTCCTCCAGTCCTCTGCTCCATTACGATTCCAAGTTGGGGGATTCGGATGTAGCATCCACCTCACCGGACACGGTGATCACCACACAGGGTCCCAACTCACCCAAGGAGTCGTATTCAACGTTTGGGGAACTGATGGCGAGATTGGCTAGGTCACTGGAGATCGAAGCCCAGCACTGCTTTGATCCCAGTACCAGTAAATTCTATAAGATTTACAGGAGGAAATCTTATAAGTTTCCTTATAGTAGTGTACCCTGACTTAATTTTTATTGCAAAGTCTAATCTAGATATGCTATAATATAGGTTTAATTAAGCCATTTTAAAGGAATAGTCAGTGAAATTTCAGGGGTTTGTAGCCTATGAATTCTTGTAACGTCAGGTTATTTTTAAATGGTAGTCAGAGAAATCAACAAAAGTTAGTGAGGGAGAGCCAGGGAAATGAAAAATGAAAATTTTGTGGCCAGCTTGCCACTTCAATGGTAATTTTATATTTGTAATCTTAGTATAATCCCAAATTTGCAGGTGTATGTGTACAAGGTTTTGAGGGTGGGGAGGGAAAAACAGTGCTCAGAGGGGAAATGAAATTAACAATACACTCTCCTCCTCCCTCTACCTGTTATAAACATGGATGGTAAGGGGGCAGGTGGTGAATTGATGCTTAGTCCTGATTTTGTAATGTTATTATTTATTATATTTATATAACACCTTTTTTCATTTAAAGAACTCAAGGTGGCTTTAATAACCTCCCCCCTCTCAGCACCAATTTTATCCTCACAGCAACAGCCGTGTGAGGTAGTTTAGGCTGAGTCTGTGACTGGCCCAAAGTCACCCAGAGGCTGAGCAGGGACCAGAACTCGGAGCCCCTAGATCCCCAGTCCAGCAGTCTAACCACGACACCACACACCCTGGCCTGCAAAGTGCGCTCATTATAACCTCTCTGCTACATCTGCCAGTCGCTACTTGCTTATTTATGACAGTAGTAGTTGCTGCCCCCATGAGTTCTACTCTTGTCCATCCAGATTCTACCAGCTGCCATTCATGCGATGTTGTGGGCCTGGATTCAGGAGATCTGGGTTCTAGGCTAGTGACTCAGCCTAATTACCTCAGAGAATTGTTGTGAGTACAAAATAGGAGAAGGATAATTGGGGTCGTTGGAGGAAAGGGGAAAAGATAAATGTAGCAAATAAATAATTGCCACTACTGTCAGTCTTTCCCCTTCCTGTGATCATCCACTTATCCTGGGAACGTTCTCTCAGAAGAGAAGTCCCCATGGGGAGCTCCTGATGAGATGATGAGCTGGCCTTCAGAGTGTGGAAGCCACAAGTCTGTGCCCCTGGTGAGACTGGGAGGAGATTTCCTTGCTAGCAGCAAGGACAAAGTGATCTGTATTGGGATTACATGGCTTTGCATGCATTTGTGTGCAGAGGCCACATGTGACTTGAACCAGCACAAGAGGCAGCCCCTCGGGACAAAAAGATCATGTCCCTTGGCCTAAAATGTTGCCAAACATTGACAGAGATGCTGATGTGGATCCAGTCTGAGGACTGTGAGAGTTGGATGTTGCTCTACAGGCCTGGCATAACGAAAGGACGAGCATGTATCTGGGTTCTCATCCACATTCAGCCATGGAGCTTAGTGGGTGACTGTGGGTCAGTCACAGTCTATCAGCCCAACCTACCTCAGAGGGTTGTTGTTTGTGGGGATAAAATGGAGTGGAGGAGAAGTATCTAAGTCTCCTTGAAAGGAAAAAGGCAGGATACTGTATGTATGCGTAAATAAGCCACCATCTGCAGAACCCAGTAACTCCAGCCTCCTTTCCCTTCCCTTCTGCAGGTTGGCCATCACGCTTCTAGATATTTTCCTTTGCTCTGAGATTGATGTAAGTGCATATATGCGATTCGCATGGACATTTCATCTTGGACAATTATGGACATTATGAAACTGCTCATAATGGGGAGCTTTGGCTTCAAGGTCTAGCCTGTAGATACCTTATAGAGAAATCTTATTCCAGTTTTATAGACCTGGGCCTGGTCAGTGTTTGGATGGTAGAAACACCTGTGAACCCCCATGTATGTGGGCCTAAGCTCCTTATAAGAAAGAAAAGAGTAATATAAATGTAATCCATAGCCAGTGGAAAAATTGCTGCCCTCAGAGTGTGTATCTTAGATTGAGAGAAAGAGCATACCCTGCGCACTGACAGAGTTCCCTTTTACTGCTTTGCTCCCTGCAGTTTACTTTTACCCAGTATGGCACCCTGCAAGATGTGTGGAGAATTGCAGGCCAACACACTTTCAGGATGGCAGGCTGGGGAAGGTTCTCCTGTACCCACACAGACTAGTAGTCCTTCTAGTTCAGTATGGTTTTCCAGAGTTTAAGGTAGGGATCTTTCTGACTCTTACCTCAAGATGCCATGGATTCATGGATCTTCTGCATGTAAAGCAGGAACTCTGCTGCTGAGCTGTAGCCCTTCCCAAAATGGCTTTGAGTCAGAAATGAAGTCCCTTTCTACCACTTTGTCACTAAATCGTAGAATAACACAGATTCCACATGCTACCACAAGGGAGGGTTCCTGTGCCATGTTGACTTCTGGAATACTCCATTCCTTCCTCCACTTTTGCTTCCAACTGCACCAGAAGTTTCCCTCCATGACCCTTTTTGTACTTCTAAAACTTGGAGCTCTTCCAAGCAAGCCGACATCTCCATCTTTGTCCGCAGGGGTTCCGCTTTGGCTGAAGTTGCTGTCAGCATGCACCAGCTAAGCTTACTCTGGGGGGGGAGGGTGCAAGTGTGAATTAGCCCTTGCCGATGCACATCCAGTGTCTGGGATGCAATGAAGATCCACAAGTAGCATCAGCAATCAGCAATGCTCCTTAGAAATGGAGGGAAGTTATCCCTCCATACACAGACTTAGCAATGAATCATTTTCACTCATATAGTTTCCCCTCTGCAGCACTTCCCAGATTAAACTGCTGCTGGCAGTAAAAGTTGCATGTGGGAGTTAAGTCCCCTCTCCAGTATCTCTCTTCCCCTGCTAAGGGTCCTTTGCCATCAAACAAATAACCATCCGGCTATGGATTCTTGGCGAAGCTTTGTTGTGAAATGCAGTTTATCCCTAAGGCTCATCGGTGCTGAGATTTCTTTTCATTACCACTGCTGAGCTGCAAAACCTGCAAGCAGGTACATTAATGGCAGCATTCATGCAGGCTGGTGGAATAGCTTTTTCTTTGATACAGTGACACCTTCAAGCAACTGTCAGGCATGTGGGCAGGTTTGCATGTCATCACAGGCAATCTTGCAGCTTTCACCTCCCTCTTTTCTGTGTGTGGATGTGCCTGAAACAAGTTCAGGCTCATTGTGGTAACTCCTCCCATCCACCATATTCTGCCCTTTCAATCCTCCAGGTGGTATCCCTGGAGTCCCTGAGGGAGGAATGGGGCTCCTGACCTTGACGGCCATGATTGACTGCTGCAATCATGAGCCGTGAAGCTCAGCAGAGAGGACAAGGAGCAGGCCAGGCCCCCTCTTCTCCTGCTCCAGAGGGGACTTATTCAGCAGGAGGGGGTGCCCAGTCCACACTCAGGCAAAAGTGAGGGAAAGCAGCTGGGGAGCACTTCCAAAAGGAGCTGTGCCCCCTCCACGAGTGGCTGAGGGAAAGCCTCTCCCATGTGTGGGGAGCAGGGTGAGAAGCAGCTGGGTGAGGCAATCGTGCTTGGCGGGGGCCGCATGCCTTTGCGGATTTCCCTGCTGCACCCCTTTCTTGCTCTGGCCTTGCTGGCATTAGGTGGGGGACTCCTCTCTGGCAAGCCAGAGTGAGCATGGCCCAGACTGGGCGCCAGCTTTGCTGGTATCCAGCCGCCTCTTGCCCTGCTGTTGACTCTGTTGTGCATGTGAGGAGCTTTACTCTGGTGAGCAAGGGGGCAGCATGGGAGATCTGCCGTAGCATGCAGCCCCCAACCCAGCACTGCTGCCCAGAGGATTCTTGGGGAGCATTGATTGGGATTCCACTGAGCAGCACTGCTTACTCCCTCTGTGCCGATCAGCTAGTCACCTGCTCCTCCCACAAAAGAAGATCTTTGACAGTTGTGCCAAATGGCAGCTGTCAGTGGAGCTCTCTGATGAGCTGCTTGGCAAGAGCAACAATGGGCTGCTCTTGCCAAGCAACTCTATGGTTCTGGCTTCCGTACCACAAGAAGTTATGGTTTCCAGTTTGGACAACCAACAAGCAATTGTGGGATCACAGAACCGTAGAACGGGTCATTGTTTCTGTTTATGGTGTATCAAAACCAAGCTATGATATATGTGGAAATATCCTGATGGGGTTCGGATGACACAACACACCAACAAAGGTAAAAACCCCACCATTACTTGACATGTCTTGCAAACCCTCCCAAAGTATTTGCTGCATCTCAGTGAAGCATAGCAGTTGGTCTTCCTGGGCATGGCCCCTACTAGGGTGAACCCTACAACCTCCCGAGAAAGAGGGATCCCCACCCCATTTCCCAACAGCTGGGGCTGTTTCACAGCCAGGCCAGGTCTCTCATTCTGTCCCACAGCCTATTAATCTCCCCAGGCTTCAAACGATATGGACGGCCAAGCTTTGTGCTAGCTAGGGAAGTCTGCCCCTGATGGCTGGCTGAAGATGTCACCACATCTTCAAGCACACGAGCATCTCTAAGTATATTCAAATGAAGGCATTTGAAATACATGATCACTCGGGGGGTGCATCCCTAGGGCCTGCTTAGCATGCACGCCAAGTTTCAGTCTTCTCAGGTTCATGACCTTGGTGCTATGATGGTAGACAGGTGCACAACCTCCTGTGTGCTTCGCAGTGCACATTTTGCAAAGTATTTAGGTGTATGGCGTCTAGTGTACAAGTTCTTTGGATCAATGTACTTTCTGTGCATAGGTCTTGGGAGAGCACAGCGAAATGTTTTTCCTATGGCCTTCCATACTCTCCTACCTTTTCCTGCTGGGACGATTTGTTTTTATATTTGTGAAAGAAATAAGGATTCGACGTGGGTTGGCTTCTGAAAATGTGAGTACCTTTTGATAGTAGCTTTTTCCTATTATGCCTCTTTTAAAAACTTATTCAGTCCCTCTAGATTCTTACTGCACTTTGAAATTGGACTATATCTAGTTACTCTTAAAAAAAAGACTCAGGTTTACCCCAAATAATATTATAATCCAAGGAACAAAAATGGAGCTCAGCAGCTGATTGAAAAGGACAGTTAAGAATTGGAAGATTAAAAATGCTATTAGAAGAAACAAGATGAGCTCCAGCAGAGCTGTTCATTTCTCACCCGCTTTTCTCTGTTTCAAGTCAGCAGTTTTAGGAACAAAATAGTAACATTCTCTATCTGGCATAAAATAAGTTTTGGAAAACTTGACAGTCCCCAAATCTAATGACATCCCTCTTCATTTGCCTTGCTTCCTGGCTTTTTAACCTCTCTTCAGAGCTTCCTAGAAGCTCCTTTGCAAGTTTTCTGAAGACTTCTTGAGAACACAGAGAACTAAAATTTCTATATAAAATATATACCATTTGTCTATTAATTGAAAAAGGACTCTATTTAGCAATATTTAGTAATACTATTTTCCCATTCTGTGGTTAAAAAAAAGATGGAAGACGCAATTAGAAGACTTGTGGTTGGGGGGGGGGCTGTGCATGGAAGACAGCATCAGATGCTCCCTCCAAAATTTGGTGAATGAGTCAAGGTGATGCAGTAATAAAAGCTTCATCTGGAAGCAAACTATGCCATCCTGACCTGTCCTCATTTGACTTGGTCTTCCTGATCCTAAAGCAGGTGTGGGTAGAAATCTCCAGATGTTTGGGACTTGATTCCTAACATTCCAAACAAGTGGCTATGCTGGAAGGGGCTTCTGGGAACCAAAGTCTAAAATACCTGGAGATGGTACCTTCTGTCCATTTCAGGGCACATCCCGTGACAGTTTGGTGCTACTGTGCAGCAGTGGGAGTGTGAGAATTGTCCCAGCCAGGGACACTCTGCAGTGCCAGTGCTCACCGGTTCCAGAGTGCTTCTTTCAACCACATGAACCAGCAAAGCCTGATACAATTTCTGTGTCCGTATGATGCGTATCAGATGTGCCCAAAATAGTTTTTCCCCATCCAGAAGCAAAATGAAAACATATAAATATATAAATATATTACTGTGTGGCTGAATAAGAATAGCCTTGTGACTGCAGAATGGAATCTCTGTGACTGTTCTCTTTTTCCCCACACAGGAGGAGATTTCATTTATGGAAGGATATCAGGCAAAATATGTCCACCGCCTGTTCAGGAAGCGCCCATTGCAGTGAGGATTTTCAGTTCTTGGGGCATTTCCCTGTCTAATTGAAAAAGAACACTGCAGCCATTCATTCATTCATTCATTCATTCATTCATTCATTCATTCATTCAATCAATGTGCTGCTACAATAGCCCATATCTGGCATCTCTGCATAGCTCACAATATTATTTTTCCTTGGGATCTGATGACAGTCCCTGATTGAGCAAACTCAGGGTCTGTATGGTTTGCACTTCTATATTTAACAGAGAAATATATATACAGATCTTACGGAGAGCAGTAAGTGAGGGGAAGTACAGACAGATCTCATGGCTGGGCAGTGAATGAAAGGTATTGGAAACTTGCAAACCTCCCTTCCATTTATGTGGCTATGAAATCTACATCTGTGGAACAGGAAGGAGTGAAGGGGTGCCCCCACCCCATGTAGGCCCACTCAAGCCATCCCATCCTCATGCATACTGAGCAATTTGCACTCAGTCCCTGCAGCAGCGTTCAAGACATACCCACCTGTCCTTCCAGGCTTGTCTCCCCATCCCTGCTACCTCTTTTCATTCATGTCAAAAAAGCCCAATTTGGGGTCCTTTAAAACAAAAATCAGCCCCTAAAAATTGCCCCTAAAATTGTTCACAACTTCTGTCATTCTTTTACACTTCGCTTGTATGGCTATCCAACAGGTATAGTCTCACCTGGTCATTTCCCTTCCTTGTTTCAGCTGTCAAAGGGAAACCTGCCAATTTGCACAAAGTTCCCCCCTCCCTTCTTTTAGCAGCTCCCTTCTGAAGTTAAGCAAAAACACAGAAATTTATGCAAACTGAATGGAAGTAAGTGGAGAAGAAATTTGTGCTTCTGCAGTAATGGAGCAGTTAATCCAGCTTGGGCAAACATACCTTCCTTTTACTACCATTCAATTTGCATACATTTTGCTTCCATTTATGTGGCACACATTAAATTTGCAACTGTTTCTGTTTTTGTTTTTTTAAGTAAATGATCCATAGTTTACAATCCTTGAGTCCCCTGTGTGAGTCCCCTATGGTTTGGATGGATTCACACAGTACATCAACCATGATTCAGCAGTAACCCATGGTTTAACAGGCTGGGATGCCATGTTACGTGAAACTGGTAACTGAAGAAACCCAGGGATGGCAGTTTTCTTCTGGTGTTCTGAATGTTTGAGGAAGGGAGGGAGAAGAACTTCCATTTCCTCTGCTATTATACTATTCCTCTGCCTGATGCTGTATATGTTTTCCCTACCAATAGGCCAGATCAGAAATCCTGGATTCAGAGGAAGTTATATCACTGGGACCCTCACTTTAAATTCCCTACCAGATTAATTAGTACAATTGTGCTTGTCATCAGGTGCCTTTATACGGTAAGTTGGGGTCCCCAAACACTTTAGGCTGCTAAGCACATTTGGAATTTTAGGAGTGCTCTTGCAAAATGACTGCCATGGATGGGGGTTGGGGGGGTAGTTTGCTTGTTCAAAAAATAATTTCTGTGCTTGGTCACAAAATGAGAGTTTTTCAGAAGGCGAATGGATGAGTCTAATATAGAAGTAATTGCCTAGTAACCTAATTAAAAGGCAGAGGTGTGCTCTGAGCATTCAAACACAAAACTATTCATTTGAACCCAAATAAAGATGGAGTGAGAGGGCAGTACTTCACTTTAGCTACCATCCTCCGGTGTAATCTTAAGAAATAATAGAAAAATTAGTCTTAAAAAATAATAGAAAAATTCATAGGGGCAGATAACCTGGCGAGTGCAAGAGATGTGTCTGCGGGCCCATCATTCCTCACTATGGTCTACTCTAGCTAGTGCTGATGGGAATTGTAGGCTAAAAGGACTGCTGAAGCATCTGCTGCTGAACTGAAGCTGTTCCAATCTTCCCCACTTCAGGCAAAAGTGGGAATGAGCTGATCTAACCACTGTCCATCAGTCACAGGTCTGAAATCAGCAGCTTGGCAACAGCCTAGCATCAGTCTGAAAGAAGCCCAACAAAATATTGCCTGCTGACTGACGCTAGCAGGATGTGTTGAGGATGATTTCCAATCATCTGAACTTCTTTTTAGTTTATAATAAACTATCCAAAACAAAAATACCATTGCTGCTTGTTCCTCCTAAACCAAACTACGTAGATTTCCACTGAAAGAATTACATGGCCGCTTTAGTGATGTTAATTGAACCCTTTAAGGTTTCTGTGGAGAGGCCATCCTGGAGATGTTTTAAACTACAGCTTCCTTTATTTATTTATTTTATTTATTAAAACATTTTTATGCCGCCCCATTCGCTGAAACCTCTAGTCCTGACCTTAGCCTGGTGGTGGTAATGATGGGAACTTGAGTGCAAAATGTTTAGAGGGCATCAGACTGGGGAAAGTGATAAATATCTTCCTTTATATCTTTCAGGAGAGGGGCATAATTATTTCTGAATAATTGCTTTGTTAGTTCCATGTATACAAATAGCTAGTTATTTCATAGTACTTTTGGTCCAGAATTACATTGATACATCCTATCATTTTCAGTTGCAATATTCAAACCCACCATTGTTGTCTTTCTTTTGCAGTTTGTTATACTCGAATTTTTAATCTTCAAGGCCCTTAATAGTAAACTCAGAGAATTGGCTGACTCCCTCAACATTTTGGCTCTATCGGTCAATGAAACGGAAAATACATTCATAAGCGCTATGGAAGAATTTGCTACTATCACATTTGGTACAGACATGATTTTCTATTACTCTCAGTTTAAAATAATGTTGTTATATGTTGAGAGTACTCTGGCATAGGAACAAATGGGTGAGAAACCTTTTATCAACCGAGTTCTTAGATCAAGGTTGGGGAACATGTGACCAATGGCAGTTCTGGCTAGGAATTATGGGAGCTGCAGTCCCAGCACATCTGGAGGGTGCTAGGCTGGGGAAGGTGGCTCTCCTTGCTGTTGGGCTGCAACTCCCATGAGTCTTTGGCAGCATGGAAAATGGCTAGGAATAATGGCAGTTGTAGCCCAACAACAACTGGAAGGCTGTATGCGCCTCATCCTTGCCTTAGACAAATACATGAGGCTGCTAGCAAGTGGGTAACACAGAGAAGTGCTTGTACGCTTGTCCTCTTTGAAGGAAAGAGGGCAACTAGAGGGAGGGGGCCCTGCTTCAGAAAGCATGACTCAGAAGAGGAGGAGCTTCCCCTCTTGTTCCATCCCAAGAAGTGGATTCAGCCCAGTGTGCCTAACTGCATGACCAGCCTGCCTTTTTAACCCCTCTCCCAAAGGTAACTAGAGAAAATATTTACTCCTTTATCTAGGGCAGAAAGGCAACCCCCACCCAGTTTCCCTCAGCCTTCTCCTGAGGGGAATTTCTGTTCCTGCCTTAGCTCCTCTCCCCTCATCCCTCAGTCAAAGGTGAGACAATTTAAGGATGGCGCTGCAAGGGCACATCTGCCACTTAGCTCACAGCGCCTTTGCGGCACTAGCACTTTAGATCAGCTCTGAGAATTCAAGCTAATTTACCTTGGCTCAGAAGAGGAACTGGCAGCTACTGATTCTGTGGCTGAACACCCTAGATGGAGGTAGACAAACAGTCTGGAAATTTGGAAGGCAAGTATCTCTCCTCATGTCCTCCCTCCCTTTCAGATTGCTTATGGCACAAGCTATCAGGAGGGTAAGAAGGGGACTCATTGTCTTCCCTCTTCTCTGGATAAATGAGAGGGGAATCCATTTATCCAGCCTTTATTAAGCAGATCAAGGCCAGTTTTGAGTACAGCTGTACCAAGATGTACTACTCAGCCATCTCCTTTCCATTTTCTCCTGTAAGATTTGGGGAGAGACTCTTCTCTTGCCATCCTACTGGCCATGGGCTTGATGGCTCCCTTGCTTGAGGGGAAAGATTTTTCAATGACCCATTTTTGTGGTTGCTTAGGAATAGGAGCAGAAGCACGGTATCCCCTGTTCTCCTAAACAGAGGAAACCAAGCAGATCCAGATGTGCCTGTCACTCTTAATGCCAGTCCAGCTTGCACTCAGGGGAAGGGTTTCCATAACACGGCATTGGAGCAACCCAGGACTGGCGAGTTGGCAGAACATGGCAAGGGTGTCCTCTCTCCTTGGGCCACTGGTGAGCCAGATGCAATCCTGCCTTCCCACATGCCCCAGCAATCCCTATTTTAGGAAGGTTCTTTAGGGTTTGAGGGCCAAAGGTAAAGGAACTCGCAGGGAGCAGCCAAGCAAACTCTTTTCCACCTGGATTTCTCTCTCCCAGAATTGTTCAGTTGAGATCACACCTTCCTCCTGGGTCACAGCCTTCCCCAGAGAGGATGTGGAGCTCTCTTTGCCAGCACAGTAGAGGCAGCAAGTAACCCCAAACCCAGGAAAGTCCCCAGGACCGCACTTGCCTTTCTAGCAGTTTCTCTGCTCCTCTCACTTCCATTCTGGAAGTGCTTTGAATAACTTCCTTGCAAGGAATGGCCAAACCTCTCCGAAGCCAAATCCCATCATTGCTCCCAGGATCGATTTCTTTCCAGAGGATGCCATGCAAGACCTGCTTGTTCCCAAGGTGGATGTTCCAGTGGTTGCTCTACAGAAAGCTGTTTTTTCCAGATGCAGATGAGCTCCTTATAGATGATCACTAGCACATGAGCAGCTCTCCAGAGACCTTATGGTTTCCTTTGCCAGCCAGGTTGGGGGAAACTCCTTTACAGTTTGGATTATAGCCCTTGGAGCCTCATTCATTGTCTCTGTCCTTGCCAAAGCTTACAAGGATTTGGAAACTAATAATGTGAGAGGGCAATCGGGAACAATCTCTGCCCTGTTTCCTGGGCTTTTCTGCTCCAGGCCTTCTTGGAGCCTCCTTGGTGTGAGGCAGGGTCCTCGGCCTCTGATCTCTAGATCTCCCCACAGAGCTTGCTCCTTTTGGGGGGCATTAAGCTGTTTGGAGAGGGTTTGGTGGAAGCTGGAGATTAAAAGAAAGTGCAGCAAGGGAGGAAAGAAAGGATTCTTTTCAGTCCTTTGAGCCCTTGGGGTCTTCTAGAAACTTTCCAGATGGAGAAATACAAGATAAAATCACAATATCTTGTATATTCTAATTACTGTGAGGTTAGAATACTTCCACATTGGTATTGTAGCGGACAGAGGAAGCGATTTCTAAATAAAGATACTAGTTTCTTGTTCCACAGATGTTTGGGTTGTCACCACCATTATTTCCTGCATCACAAGTCTCACCTACTTGTTTAACATCTTAGTCTGCTACAGGTACGGTCATACTTTGGATTATAAAGGCTTGGTGCAGAAATACCAGATTATTGCACAGTCATGACTGGGAGTCTCTGCTTGCCGGCTGGAACAAAACAGATCAGCGAGGAATCATAGTTGCCTCTGAATCTGAGAAGCTGACTACAGCTCCTCTCCACCCCAGCTTGCATGAGTGTTCCCTCCTCCTCTGTTTCAGAGGTGACCTTGATTCCTAGCTGATCCTTTTTGCTCCACCCACCAGCAGCGTTTATTTCTGCCCTTTCTTCTATTTCCATTGTGACCCATTATTTTCTGTTGCATTCTTTCTTTGCCCACTGTGTCCTCCAATCCAGGCTGGCTTTGCCATTAGGCAGAAAAGGCTGGCCATCTTATTGCTGCAGGTGCTGGGAGGTGGCAGCACCCTGTTGGAAGAGAGAGCTGTGCGGCACAGAGCTTGCACTGCAACCCCTGTGCTATCCTGTTGCCTTCAGAGGACGCTATCCCAGTGCCAATACTGGAGAAAGATTCAGCTGTCATTCCAGTCAGCCTTTACAAAGCATCTTGGGCTAGTCCTGCCTCCAATGTCCTGATGTTGTTTAAGAGTTTCCAAGCCATGAGGCTCTGTGCTGTGGGTAGGGCAGTCCCTGCTCTTGTCATATTGATATCATGGCTGATCATGTTCTTCCTTCGTACAACAGCTGCCGTGTTTGGCTAAGCAGGGAGTGCCTCCAGATGTCTCCTAGCATAAACAAATCATTGCTGTGGTGCTGTAAGCCAGGTGTGGGAAAAAAGTAGATCTCCAGATGTTTTGGATTGCAACTCCCAGTATTCCTGACCATTGGCCTTGCTAGCAAGGGCTTCTGGGAGCTGAAGTCCAACATATTTGGAGATATACCTTCTGCTGTAAGCTACATGCAGAATTGCAATAAAGGTCCCATGTTATCCAAAGATATTGTCCATTTTCTGCTGTGTTCTGTCTACACCAATTCTCTTAGTGCAGCTCTTCAACCATCTTTAAGGACATGGTTTTGACATTTGTAGTGGCTTATCAGGCAGTCAAACCCATCACAGTATAGTATACATTAACTTTACCCTTTTCAGTGGGTGCCGCTCTTTAATTTTTTAATCAGTCTTTTAAGTACTGCTAACACACTTTTAAAAACAGGAAGATAGTACTCTGTATTTATAATGGGATTTTTTGTTTGCAAAAATGATGAAATAAATTCTATTTTAGTTGCTACCATTAAAATTACTATGTTAAGATGGTGGTGGCTAGAAAGGTCAAATTTTTTAAAACACACACTTTCCTAATTCATAACAGGCTTCAGTTCATATCCAGATAATAACTTGGGAATTCAGCCAGCTCCTTAACAGTATGGATAAGCCTTGCAATAAAACAGTCGTTTAAGGTCATCTTGGAATTATTGGGGTCAAGTGTTTCAGGGAGATTGCAGAGTGGCCGGCATCCGTTACAGAATAACCCTGCAGGTCAGTCCAGTGACCAGTTGAGCTTTGGTGTCGAGTTCTATTCTAGGGTCATTCACAGGGGTCCAAGTCCAGGCAACAATGGAGAGAGTCAGGAAAAAGGTCCATGGTGCTGGAACAATGTTGGACACCATCTTCAATGAGTTTGTAGGCAATTCTAGCCAGCCTGTTATCCAGGAGCTTGGTGGGTTCTCCCATGTGTCCAGTGGCATCTAATCACACAAACCAAGTGGGAGGTTTTCCTATCTCTGACTCAGATTCTGAGCCTTCTTGGGAAAGGGGGAGCACTCCTTTTATTCATCCTAGAGGGCCACATCCACTGCCAGTGTGGTTTCCTTCCCAGATCCGATCTTTACCTCATGCTCAGGTGCCAGGGCATCCCTGCAGCTGGCTGAGCCAAGCTCTTCAGAGGAGGGCTCCTCAAGTGGAGGCATGGTACACATATGCATGCACACATACGACCCCTAGCACTGTAATGTTCTCACTAAGTATTTCCCTCTTATCTCAAAATTATTTTGTGAAATAGCCACACTATGGAAAATATTGATTTAAAAATGTGAGTAAAAATGGCATCCTCTCGAAACATTATAGCAGGGTTGGTCAGGCTTGCTCAACTGAAGAGCCACATTTGGTAAATGTCAGATGTTTGAGAGTGACAAGGAGGCACCTGTGAGCTGTGGCTGCTGGTGGCAAGCAGTAAGAGGCACCCACATGTGGTGAGCTGCGAGTTGCAAGCTGCAAAATAAACTCAAAAGAGCTGCATGCAGCTCCCAAGTCTCGGTTTTGCCACCCCTGCATTACACTGTATGTATGCTATGCAACGACAGGCTCACCTGCCCAAGAATCACTGGTCAGTTCGAAAGAACATCTCTTTAAAAAGAGGGGAGAGTAACACTAAGGGCATCTTCTTTCTTTGGAGCCTGCTTTGCATTTCACTACTTCTCAGGAAACCAGACTTTTTCCAATAAGGAAAAAGATGGAAACAGGACTTGGGGAAACACCAGAGGATTTCTCAAATGGGAAAGTGTGGGTGATCCATGCTGATTCCACAATAAATTCCAGGTACAACCATTCAACAGAGCAATGCCTTTTTTGCTACTCTGTGGTTCAAGAGTTATGCTACCTCTGCAAATGGATGATTTGGATGGATGGACATGCACATGGCAGGCATGTCATGAGCAGAGCCTGGGAAGCCCCTTCTGACTCACTCTGTTTCTATGTTTCTATGATTTTATTTGCTTTCAGGATGCAGTTGCTCCTCCCACCCTGTGTGCAGGTATATTGATGTGCGCTCATGCACACAAACAATATTGCCCCAACAAAACAGTACCTAGCTCAAGGTGGAGGCCATGAGTGTTTGAATGTTTAGCAATGCAACAATCTTTAAAGTGTTTTTTCCCTGAAAATATCAACAACAGTGAAGGGGTTCAGAGTGAGCGAGCAAATGAGAGAGCAAGTTTGCTTGCTTTCGTTCGTTAATGGTTTGCAGCGGAGTAGGCAGTTTGGCATTCACCAGATGTTTTATACTACCAGTTTCCTTATTCCTTACTCCAAGTTGGTGAGGACTGGGCTTTTACCTTGTAGTCCAAAATGTTTGGAGGATCCCAGGTCACCTAATCCTGTTTTGAGGTATCTGCTGATACTAAGTTTGAGACATCCCTCCCCACCATGTTTTATGGATATCATCGAAGTATGACGATATGATGGAGGCTGTGATGGGTGTGAGGGTTTTGCTGTATCCCGGTGCAAGGAACACATTTAAAAAACCATTTAAATCCTTTCCATTTTAGAAAACACATTAAGTTATTGCAGTCGGGCAAGAAGCACTTTCTCCTGCCAGATCCTTCTACATTGACATCCTCTCACAGTGTGGTGAGTTTTCACTCCTTATTCTTGAATAGTGTCCCACTGCTTGGATTCTCTCAGGTCAGCAGCCATTTTGCATCTATTGTACATTGGATGGGTAACCTCCAGCCTGCAGGCTGAACGTGGCACATGGAGGTTCCCCATGCACTTCATAGATGCGTCACTCCTAAGCTTCGGCCCTCTCCTCAATATTTCCCTCCTGTGCCAGAGGAGTTGCACAGCCGCTCCTCCATGTGCCAGCCAAGAGCCTCCTTGTACACCATCCCAGTCAGGACAGTGCAACACAGGCAAAGAAGGCGTGCAACTTGGCAGGCACCTGGAAGAGCAGCTCCTCTGCTCCAGTCTCTGCATGAAGAAAGCTAAGATGCGGGGGGATAGCATCAGCAGAGAGAGCTTTCCCCTCCGGACATCATCCAGCAAACCATTTAGGCCTGGGCAGGCTGTCTCTGGCCTCAGGACCAATAAAGGTTCCAGCCCCTGCATTGAAGTTAGAATCAAGATTAATAGCCATAAACGCAATATAGAAAAATAAGATCTTCTATTTACAGAAAGCATGGAGTCATTTCAATTCATAAGATTAGTCATTAATTTCTAAAAGCCAGCAGAATTTGCCATGCTGCTCATAGGGAAAGTTATATTTTGGAAAGCTGCTTTGCAGATGGCAGAGTTACAAAATATGTGAGTTTGCTTTCTGAAGGGGAATAAGAAGATAGACAGAGTTGACTGTGCTCAGTTCCTCTGAAATAATCTCCAGAATGTGTATTTATGGGCCCTATGCAGGACACATGCCATTAGGTTCACCAATGGCCCTCTTCAGGAGTTCATCTACAAACACAGAAGGGCTGTGAGAACGTGTGATGTCCCCTTGATGGCACCTGTGCAGCTCTGAGACTTATCTCATATGGTCTTAACAACATGGGACTAAGCCTTACCAAGGATGAGGTGCTACCTCTGCATTCATGCAGCTGAATCACATGTTTCTAAATGAATGCCTGAAAAGGGCTTATGAATGCTTCTTGGGGATTTGTTATGCTAGCAATCAGAAGGCATTGGGTGGCCAACTGTTCCATCTTTTTTTCCTTTACTGGTTTGCTATGTTAAGGAAATGCCAGAAGTGGTGGTCAGAAAACACAAGGCAGATCATGAGTAGGGGATGTCTTCATTCAGATCCTCTGTAAATGTCCATAAAATAGGTGATGACAACATGAAAACTTCATCTGAATGTTTCCTACACCTCTAGTCATTATGTAGTATAGGAAACAACCATAGCATGCAATGCTGTTCTTTACAATTTAATATTGAATATATCTATGGTGGAAGGGGATAACCATGAAGACCTGATAAACTCTAGCTGCTGACTTTGTGCCCTTTTCATACCTGTGTATTTGGAGATACAACTCCAAGTTTTAAAAAATAATTTAAAATCATTATGGACAATCTGGTTTAAAATCATTACGGACATTTTGGACAATCTGCCTCTGAGCCATCACAAGATATTTGATTACAGGCTCTGATCTCAGATTTGGGAATACGAGTACTCATAGCCAGTACAGAAAGGTTGGGAATGCAGGCCTGGAGAAGGGGATAGGGGGAATTTTGAGGAGAAGAGAGGGAGGAGACTGGAGAGGGCAGGATTATGAGCTATCCTGAAGCCTTTCTGAAATGCCCTGGCTATACTGGCAGAAAAGCCCATCTCATAATTCATAATCTAACGAAAATGGAGAATTGGACGGCAGGTAGGTAGAGAGTGCCTCTGCTGGTCCTCCTCTCACCCTACACGGGTTGATCAAAAGCTTCTGAGTTCAGGGGCTTACAGTCATTACGATAGGATTGTGCCTTAAATTTAGAGCTGGAAAATGACCTCAAGCCCTTGCAAGCCATTCTAGCCCATTTTCCTACACAGCTATGGAGATGGTATAACATGGTGTCCTGCAACAGCAGGGGGTTGGACTCGATGGCCTTCATGGTCCCTTTCAATTCTTCTATGATTCTATGAGAGAGGCTGTGACAGCCTAAGAAACAGCATGTGTTACATTTGTGTATTAGGTTGGGAAATGTCTGAAGGCATGAGTGGTTGAAATTGCTTTCACCTCACAGTCCATTTTTAAAATAAATAAGGAAGATAAACTCTGTGGAGTCTGTGGGAAATCTAGGCAGGCTGACAGCAGCCTCTCCCCTGAGAATGACAAAAGGACTCATTATCTCTGTAATGATCAATATGTCTGTCAGATCTTTTGAGCTATTCTCTGTCCCTTTGGTGAATAATATAAAATGGGTGGGGTGAACCGATGCAGGATATGCCATTCCCTCTGGCATCTGAAGTTTTCTTTCCCTTCCTCACAATGACAAGAACATCATGTGTTGAGAACAACAGGCTTCCATCCATGTTGTCCTCTGAAGCTGCTTCTACCAGGACCTTCTTCTCCTGCTGTATACCACTCCAGTCTCGGAGCCTTGTGTGGAGCAAAATGTTTATGTAACAGGAGTTTTGTGTGAGGAAGGGCAGCCCCTCATTTCTGCTGCTCTTTAAATTCCACCCACCTGCCCTGAAAGAAATGGCAGTACTTGATTCTGACCTGTCTTGTTGTCGTGTTGATTTTGCCCCTTAGATTGCATATGGATGTTTTCTTTTGGATTATGATTCTGGGATTCCTGCTTTAAAAACACTTTAAAAACACTTTGTTTTTTACCAACAGGTAGCTTTAGGAAAATATATTTCGTGGCAAGTTGCATACACAATATGGGGTATGTTTGTTTTATGATGTTTTTATTGTACATTTCAAAAAGTTTTAACCAAACCCTTTCCTCAAAAAAACCTACATTGCATAAAGCTTAAGTATATTAATTGTAATCAACACATGGATTTAATAAACCTGTGTATTCTGTGTGCGTGCATAGGCAAGTTTCAGCAAAGACAAGACAAATATCCTTATGTTTATCTGAGTGTAGGTGGCTGTGTCTGTATACCACTTCTTCAAATGTTGAAAGGGTTAATAGATTCATTGTGTTAACAAGGATCGCTTTGTATTATAATTATTCTTACCCTGCATTTATATGCTGCCTTTTCCCCTGTTGTGAGGAACCCAAGATGGCTTGCATAGCTTTACTTTATCCTCACAACAACCCTGCAAGGTAGGTTGGGCTGAGAGTGAGTGACAGGCTAAAAGTCTCGCAGTAAGCTTCATTGCTGAGTGACAACTAGAATGTGGATCTCCCAGATCCTCAGTCCAACAGCCTAACCACCGTGCCATGCTGGCTGTCTTTTATCTTTTCTCTCTAACCTCTTTTATCCTCTCAGTGTTGTAGTATCAACCAGATGGCTATCAGGAGAGCACAGGAACACTGTTTAATTAACCTTGCATTAAATTCCAAGAAGTGAGTAGATGGTTAAGTAGGAAAGGTACATATGAAAGAATAAAGGAGTTCCCAATCCAAAATTTACCCACATAATAACCAAAGGGAGGCATATATGGGTGGAATATGGGGTATATGAATATCTGTTGTGGGAATTTGGCATAAATTATCAGTGAGGCAGATGTTTCCCTCCCCCCCCTCCCACCTTTTGCCAATGTTTCTCCTCTTTTCTAGGTTATCTGATCATGCATCTGATACAGTGGGTGTTTGTAATCATACTTGTCTATCTTTTCATCTTGCCCATGAAGCGTGGGGAGTGGATGAATCTTCTCAACAACTGGGGAACGACAATGTAAGTGTAAGAACAGCTTTGCTCTCCCTGCTTTTAAGAACTACCAGGCTGATAAATGTGGGCATAAGCCAGTAGACAGACCTGTGCCAGTCAGTTGCACTGCTGTTGTGATCAGCAAGGCAGCCTGGCTAGAAACCAAGGGCTTGTCACTATGGACTGGGGAGCACCAGATTATTGTCTCCATCTTCTACCTGCCTTTAAAAACTGCCTTGTGGAGGTAGATGGAACCTCACTGCAAATCGCATCTGTGCTAAGATATGATCCTAGGCCAAGCTCCGAAGAAAGAATGTGCATGCTCAGGAAACAACTGTGTACACAACTCGTTTCCCACTTTAGAAGTTTCCGTGGCAACAGCTAAGATGATGTTGCTTTTTCGAATCAGCTCCTCTCTTTGGCAGGAGGAAATCCTGCAGGAGGCTCTGGCCAAATCTCCATCATTTCCTTATCGTTTCGTTTTCAGTGATAGCTTTTCAAAGATAGAACAGGCTTTTTGGATAGCATGTTTGTTTATTTACTTACGAAATTTTTATATCATCCATCAGCCAGAAAGACTCTCTGGATGGTTCACATCATTAAAATACGCAATGAACAAACAGTAAGCAGCAAATAATAACAGATACAATCAACAGAAATACTATATCAATTAAAATGACTGCACAAATATAGGGATTTGGGGTCTTAGAGTAAGGAGCTGGCAATTAAATCCATCTCTCTATTCTCCTCACATAGCTTCCGACTGGCTTCATCTTCACTTCCTTTCATTTTAAATGTAACACAGAGATTTCCCTTTGCTTTCTGCCTTTCAGCCTTTCATTGGTTATCATCACGATTATCAGGCAGCTGCAAGTTGTTGTTGCTGGGAGATTTTTTCTTCAGCCAAAAATTTCGCCACAAGACAAGCAGAAGCCGTTGGCCCTGGATAACTGGTTAGTGTCCAGAAGTGTTACTCTTCTTGCTTTTCAGTTTTTAGCATAAAGTTTTTTCTACTGCATGGCATTTATAGTTGAAGGATATTTAAGAAAGCAGCAGCCAGTGAGCTTTGGGCACCCTTATAAGGCAGCATTACCCATAGCGCTCATGTTACTTATTTGCACGTGAATTTATTTACAAAAAGGTCCTATACAAGTTTACTCAAAGTCAGTTCTGCTGCGTTTAATGGAATTTACTCTCAGGTAAGTGTATGTAGGATTGCCCTGACCAGTATGTTGATTTCAAACCTGTAGAGGTCAATATGACGGGGGCCTTGGAAGGACACCACCTTCCACCCCTGCATGTTAAGATCTTTGGAAGCTCAGTAGTGAACTCCTTCGCCCTCTCCCGCAGCTTGTTCTCTGACCCACACATTACAGCAGCAGTGCCAGCAACATTGGCATTTCCCTCGCAGTTTAGGAAGAGCTTGGGCGCTCCAGTGTCTGGTCAGCATTTTTGTACTGCTGTTTCCAGCATCTCATGTGGCAGGCAGCACCAGGCTTCATTCCCTAGCACAGCAAGTGCAAATAAAAGCACCCCCCTCCCCCTCAGAAGAGGGAATGCCAGAGTCAGGCTATAAACCTGAAAGATAAATGAAGGCACACTACTGTAAAACACTCAGTGTCAGCGAGGCAGTGCCAAACTGCAGCCCAGACAGGTGCAAATAAAACCAAGCAGTGTGGTTTAGTGGTTAGAGTGGGCAACTAAGCTCGGGGAGCTCTTCCATGGGCTCCACACATCTCTCCCCACTGGCCTGGAGGCTACCTGGGACTTATCACCTCCTGAGATACAAGGAGAGCCTTTGGGGAGCAGCCTCTGTGCAGGGCATTCCGCCTTTGCTTGTTGTGGGGCACGTGAGCGTCAGCCACGCACATACAGCCAAGGACAAGCAGGAGCAAAGCAGGCTGTCCAGCTCTCCAATCCAGGCCAAGGGAGCCTTCGCCTACCCCATGTCCTCACCCAGTGGGAGAAGGGACAGGACTGGGAAAGCCATTCTGGGTGGCATCCTTCTGCCCACAGAAGCTGGGGTGGTGGGGTGGTCAGGTCATCCAGCCTCCTAGCCAAATTTGGATCCCTGTCTCTAGAAAAATGCAGAAAAACTTCCACTCAGGAGAAGATGACACCTCAGTCAGTACTGTAATTTGTGCCTTACAGATCTTCCTAAAGTACCCCCAGAAGCAATCGCGAAGCATTCCTGAGTATTTCAGCACATTTAGATTGAGGAGGTGTCTAATGAATTTTTAGGCTTCAGTCACGTCTGTTTAGTTCAGTTCCCCCCCACCCCCAAATCACCTGGTTTTGCTCCCACATTGGAGCGGGTGTGGGCGATAATTGTGAAATGCTTCAGCAGTGATCTCTCATCCTTGCAGGAGGGCCTTTGTCAACTTCAATTACTTCTTGTTCTTCCATTCCGTGGTGGTGGGACTGCTTTCCTGCTTGATGCGACTGTTCCGCAGCGTCATCCTGGGAGCCTGGCTGGTTGGGCGGTTAGACAGGCCGCTAATGCCAGCGGGCTTTGAATCCTGCGATAAAGGCAAGTGCCTGGAATTCTCTTTGCGGGGCGGTTCTCAAAAGCTCTTCGGGGGAGCTTTCCAGGCAGAATAGCCTGTCATTTTCATTGGCCAGAAACAGAATGCCAATGGCTTCAGCCCTGGAGCCCTGGATGAGCCCCTGTTTCACTGCAGGTTTCTGTACTTGGGTTGAAATGCTGGCTCTGGACCACTACCACACAAACCCCATCCTTGGCTGCTTCTGCTACATTCTTCATAGAGCGAACAGAGAAAGACAAGAGCGGGAAGCCATGGCAGAGGTTGCCATAATGGATTGGGATGGATCAGGTAAGCTGTACCACAGATGCTAGCAGTTGGAAAGGAACAGGGATCCTGGGAAAGCTAAGGAACAGATCTCCAGTTGGTGAAGGTCAACTCACTGCAGGTGTCCCAAGGTGATGTGAGAGAACTTTTAACTTCTTTGATCTGCACTTCATGGCAGTGGTTTGACTTGTGAATCCTCCCTCCCTTGCTCAAATTTGAAGCCTGGCTCAGAGGTAGTATACAATGCTGTGACCTGAGGAAGAGCACAATTTTTAAGAAAGTTGTAACTAGGATAAGAGAGGCTTATAGACAGTGAGGCACGTTTCTTTTTTCTCACTGTTGCCAAAGTTCTCACTGTTGCCTCAAACTGGGTTTGAGGTTATTTCACATCCTGAAATCTTTTTTATACTTTCCTCTTTCTGCTTTGTTGCAAATTTTGGTACAATTTTTTGTTCATTGATCTTATACCCTGAATAGAGTGCAGATTTTTTTAATTTGCTCTATTATATACTGTTGAAACTATGTCATTAGCATAACATTTCAGTTTGTATTTTTCTCCATCTGTTTTAAAACCTTTTATTTTGGGGTCTTGTCTTATCTTTTTTGCTGAAATTGCCGATACAAGAAAAAATAAAAGAAGTGATAAAGGGCATCCTTGGCATGTCCCCTTCTCCATTTGAAAACTGTCAGTTAATATGCCATTACTAAAATCTTAGCACATTGTTCAGTATAAATTGATTAAATCCAATTCAGAAAGCTTGTGCTACAGTCTCAATATTGTAGTTTCCATTAAAAAGGGCCAAGACATGTTATCAAAAGCTTTCTTCACTTCTAAAAAGATACAGTGGTACCTTGGCGCACAAATGCCTCAGTTCATGGTCAAATCGAGTCGCAAACAGAAATTTCATAAAAATTTTGCTGCAGGTCACAAACTCCATGTCGGGTGACGATTGCGATCACACCTGCCTTCCCTACACGGGTGCAATCACAGTTGTGCTGAGGGGTGGGGAGATGGTCATGATCATGCTTGGGGGTGGGGGAGATGGCCATGATCACATCCATCCTCCCTGCACGAGCACGCCCAAGATCGCACCCGTCTCCCTCCCCCAGCGCGCCCGCAATTGTGCCCGTCTCCCTCCCCCAGCGCGCCCGCAATCGCACCCGTCTCCCTGCGGGCAGGGGGAGGAGATGGCCACGATCTTTGTTGTTCTTTGTCACTTTATTTCAAATTTTTGTGAGTAAAAAAAAATAGTTACAGAATGGATTAACCTTATTTAAATTGGAGCTTATGGGGAAATTTGACTTGGCTCACGACCAATTTAGGTTGTGACCAGAGTTGTGGAATGGATTAAGTTTGTGAGCCAAGGTACCACTGTAAATGCAGCTTTTTTCTTCTCGACCCATTCAATTGCATCAATAACAAAATGTACAGTATCTTTCATATATATTTTTGGGACAAATTCAGTCTGATCTGTATGAACCTGTTTTTCTATACATTTTCTTAGTCTCTCTGCCATTATTGAAGTAAGAAAATTGCAACCCACATTTAATAATGAGATAGGACAGTAAGAATATGGTAACATGGGATCATTGCCATCTTTATGTATCAGCTTCCCAAAGTCCCAACTTCAATCAGAGCTATTTGGGAGACATAGCTGTCCTTCGAAATGCATCATCTATAGATCAGTTTGAAAACAACAAAAAGGACAACAAAGAAAGCAATTCCCTGACTCAAACATCCAGCAACTCCCATCATATAAAAAATGGGAATGAAGGAACGGCGACAGCCATCTCTTCCATTGCACTGAAGCTTAATCAGTATCAAGGTCAGTTTTCAGAATTCATAATTCTTAGTTTCTTAAATACAGGTATCAGGCAACTTTACAACTGTTAGTCTTATTAAAATTCAGACAGAACATCAAGAAAGTCTCTGTTTCAGAGTTCCTTTCAAGTACGTAAGCAAAATGCCTTAAGAATCTGATTTGTAGCCAAAATCTCAGTCTCATGTCTGTGCTGTGCGGAAAACACAATTGTCCTTCATCACAATTCAGAAGCCACAAAATAAACATAAAAACACTTCCAGCTCTAATATCCTCAACCATGCCAAGGTCAATTTTCACCATCCACAATTCTCAATTTCTTAAGCAGAGACATCAGACAACTTTACAGCTGTTAAGGTCCAGTAAAAGTTCAGATAACGCATCATTAATCATGTTTCAGAGTCCTTTCCAAATATGCAAACTCCAAAGCATTCTGTTTCTGGGTTTTTTGTAATTTCTGAACCCAAAAACTACCTGTTGTTCATGGGTTAAGCAACCTAGAATTAACTCTGCAACAAACCATGGACAATTGTGAACTCTGGGCTGTTTAATCCCTGAACAACTCAGAAGTCCAGGTTTGTACATCATGGAAGATCCCAGGAAAAGAACACTGAGTTGTTAATTGAATGTGGAAGCATGTGTGCATCCCCTTACAAGTTTGATTGTCTGAACCAGGTTTTAGTGTTGCCAGCTTTTTCATTAACCCTCTGCTCCTATGCCTTTAACAACAGTTTGCTCTATAGACATTAGTGGTAATGTTCTTTATTTCTGTGCCATGAGAAGCTTTACCTTCTGCTTCATACAGACTGAAGTGCTGATAAATGCATGCCAGGATCGTGTTTTTTCCCCTGAATTATCAGAATGCTTATATATTCTGTTAAACCTCATCTTGGTTAAGAAAAAGAAAGAGACAGAGAGAAAGACAGAGAAAGAGAAAAAAAATTAATTGCTCCTTATTCTTCTAACTTGGAGGATGGCTGGTAGTTGATTGAGGTGTGGTTAGCTGTTACAACCACATAACATTAATTCCAAATGCATCCTCTGTGTATTCAATCCCTTGATTTCTCTGTAATGAATAGGGAAAAGACATGAGGATACTGTGGAATAATTACAAATTATTAATTGCCAATTTTAATTATTTCCAAAAATTAACATTATTGATTTTAATTGAATTTATTTATTGCCATTTGTTGTTTGCATATTTAGTTTGATTATAGTAAGAACACCATTACATCTCTTGTGGGCCCTGTGGTGTAGGAATGGGTATAAGGCTAGAAGGGCCGTTGTAGATAGATTTTATTTTTATTGATTCCATTTTATTTTATTGATATATATTGTTGTGATTATTTGCATACATATGTTAAATTCTGTACTGTTACACTGTAATTTGTTTTGATTTAAACTGTTCTGAGATATTTGTTAGGTGTGAATGATATGCAAAAGCAGTAAACAAACAAATTTGGGTCATATGGAAGCAGGATGTGTTAGAAACTAAGTCCTGATGTCTTGCTGTAGTTTTCAGGGTGTCAAGCAGAGCCAGGACAAGATGGCTGGTGCTCTACACACTTATGAACAACCCCAGTCTCCTGGAAAACAGGAAGCTAAAACTAAGGTTTCATTTAATGGAGTAGCCACAGCATGGCTTGGCCAGATGTACTCTGCCACTGGAGTGGAACCTCCGGGTAAGCTGGCTGGCTGCACTTCAGAGAGCCTCCTTGGGTCAGTAAATGGTGACTGACTGGGATATGGACTGCTGAGAAGCTCCACCGTGTGTGCAGTGACAAAGACGCCCAGCTTACACTTACTGTGGGCTACTTCCTTACCTCTTTGCTGCATTATTTTTTAAACTGATGTATTTCCAGTATTTTACAAGCCATGAAATTGCACCCATGTCCTGTTCCTAGATGTTTCGACTGTCTGTCTGCTGGAATTGTTAAAAAATGTATACAAGCATTGAGTGGATTTAGGCAGCAAAGAAAGTACTCTTATTATTTTTTCTCTGACATCCTGCCCATACCAGACAGTGTTTGGGAAATGAAGCTAGAAGGAGATTACAGTGTTTAACAAAAATTACAAGTTTTCCAGAAAGTACCAAGCTGGCATATTTGTTTCCCAAACTGGTGATATGGAAGTGGTGTTTGCCTGATCACAAAGGTGCTGTCAGGTCATTTCTTCTCACAGTTTTTGCATTAAGTGGCAGGTGCCTCTGAAGCCAGTCCTGCTGAGTCAATGGATCTGGCCTCACCACAATGATTTCTGCTTTCTGCTGCTAAGTTCAACTGGAATGGGATGTGAGTCATATCCAGTTATCCAATAATCTATTGGTGGTGGTGCTGGGCAGACACTTTGTGGAAGTGTATATACAATAGTACAATAGTGTACTATTGTCCATCCTGCAAAGACAGACTTCAGGAATAGGTAAACTGTGGACCTCTGTCTAGAAGTGGCTGTATTGCACTTCGCATCAGTCACAGGCAGCATGAGCAATGATCAGGAATGACAAGAACTGTAGTCCAGTGTATTTGGAGGGCTGCTGGTTCCCTACCTGGTGTACATGACTTTTCTGGATGATGGTAGCATAGTAAATGGAAGGTTCCCTTGCCAACTTGCACTTCCCAAAGGTGGAGAACTGAAGGAGTGTGTGAAATATAGAAAGGGGAGGCAGTTGGAAGTGTAAGAAAAGGGACTGGGGAAAGTGGAGGGGGAGTTGAAGGGAAGGAGTAAGTGGAGAACACAATACTGAAAGTCTTGCAGGAAGGGATTAGGTTCTGAGAAATGAAGGAACTAGGTTTGAGGCTAACAAAAACTGGAGAAAATTAACCTCTGGGATCTTTGGGTTTTGGTCTGGTCTCCTGACATCTGCTGGAGTGCAGGATCAAGCACTAGAATTGCTGAAAGAAGTATTGGACCCATTTGTAATCTCCTGCTAAACATTGTTGTTTTTCTGAAAGCCCCATTGGGAAAAACAATTAAAGTTTCCTGTCCTCAAGCAATCCTTCTTTGGCAGACCTTGTAGAAAACACAGTATTCAAGAAAGGTAATGTTTCCATATAAAGCATGATCTGGCTAGATCTGTTCTGCAAGTAGAAATGCTTCTCTCTGTTCCTCTTGACTGTATTAAGTATCTTGATGCATGGAGGTTTTTCACCAACTTTGTAAAGTACTGGAGGTGGGGGTTTGATTTGGGAAGCATGTGGTGTCTAATTTCAGTAGATTTCTACTCCTGCATATTTTGCTATTCTTTTATGTTTAAATTAAATTATACTGGGATTTATTAAAAACATAAACAAACAAAACCCTACAAAATCTTCAACTGCCTGAGATGCAACAGGACAGGAAAGATGAGGCAGTGAATCACATCTTTGAGTTTCTTGGATTTTAAAGAACAGGGTGAGGGGAGAGAGGGAAAGCTGTTTGTTGCTTCTGATTAACCTTCGGGAACCTAGTCATGCAATTTACTTGCTATTAATATTATTGCTGCCAAATGTTATGATCTAGCTTGAAACTTATTTCAAACTTTCTGAGCAAATAAATCATGGGTAAAAAGGCATCATATATAGAACCAACAAACCAACAAGATACACAACTTTTTTCCAATAAAGTTTAATTTGGAGACATTCTCACATTTTCTTTTTAAACAGGATAAGGCAATAAGGCAGAAATCCCCTCAGGTAGATACTGTTCTTTTATACATTTTGCACTGTTGAGAAGATGTAAAATATCAGGGAAGGAGCATTTTATACTGTTTTTTCTTTATATTTGTGAAGAGAGACAACAGTGGACCTTGTAAAAACATACACAAATCTTTGCTGTCTTTTCTGTATTTCTGATATTGGTACATTCGAGATGTGTTCCTATTATGTATAAAATTCTGGCTTAAATCATCTGGGTCCTCAAACTAAGGCCTACCATGTCCAGTTGGACCCACCACACGCGCGCCCACCGCCACCCACCTCACCCCACGCGTAGTTTGCTCGCTCGGAGAAAACGATTTCCAAGCGAGCAGGCCGCCGCCTCGTGGCGCGCGCCCACCCCGCCTCCCCTCCCCTCCCCTCACCGCGCGCGCGCGCCCGCCCACACTTCGCCTCCCGGCTCCCCTTACCGCGCGCGCACGCCCATGCCTCGCCTCCGCTCCCCACCCCGCGCGCGCACGCCCATGCCTCGCCTCGCTGCGCGCCCCGCCCCCGCCTCAGTGCGCGTGCCACGACCCGCGCCGGCCTGCACGCAGTGACAGCACCACCTTTCTGGCTTGCGCCCGGCATCGGCGGCTTTCAACTGGTAAAAAAAGTTTGAGGACCCCTGATCTAAGGGCACGATGTTGTGGATATTTAGACAGGAAAAAACCCTGTGGTTCCAGCATCCCCAAGCTGGCTGTGCTAGCAGGGGAATGTTGGGAATTGTTTCTATCTAAACACATCTTTAGGACACAATCCTACATAACAGTGAATAGCTGATCGATAGGTCTTTATCTCAAGTCCAGGCTTTCCTGGTGGGTACCAAAATGGTCACATCCCTTTCCCATGGCTCTTCTCACTTCCCTGACCACAAATTCTGTGATGGCTTCTTTCCTTTTGTACAATTTCTTTTCAAATGTCTCTGCTATGACTTAATTGCAGGCCAGATATATTTTAAGTTAAAATATGCTGATATTTTTACCCTTCCCTCTTTGGCTTTGGCTCCTCATCACCACTGGAAAGCCAGTGAGGTGTAGTGGTTAAGAGCATGGGACTGGGACTCAGGCGATCTGGGTTCTAGTCCCCGCTCGGCCATGGAGCCAACTGGGTGACTTTGGGCCAGTCACAGACTCTCAGCCCAACCTTCCTCACAGGGTTGTTGTTGTGGGGATAAGATGGAGGAGGAGAGATGATGTAAGCTGCCTTGAGCCCTTTGTAGGAAAAAGGCAGGATATAAATCGCAATATAATATAAAGCAGGCCCCAGAAGCTTTCCCCAATGGAATTGGCCCTCTGGCTGAAAGAGCCTTGCAAAACACCCTTTCCAGTTCTTTTTTTATTAGACGTGAACTGTGAGGGCTGATATTTCCCCACACAACACCTCTGGTACAGTATAGCCCTATATAGCATTCAGACCTGCTGCTATTACAAGCGATATGACAGGAAGAGGAAGCGCATTACTGACTCCGCTCTCCATGACTGAGTTCACAACAGGACAGCCTACCACAGGATGTCTTGGCAGGTTATGGGGGTGAATGTGAACTGTTTTTGATTGGTTGCTTTGTTTCTGGGCAGTAAGTCACCCTGACAACTCATGGCTTCTTGTGGGATTGTACCCACAATGGTTTGTTGTGTCTGAACCCAGGTGCCTGTCCAGATCATAGGGATTGGCAAGATCCTTTTTCTTTTTGCCCAGTCTCTCTTCCAGGCCCTGTGCAGTGTGTGCTTTTCTCTGAGACTAGATGCTTGGGAAAATGCAAAAGGACGTCCCACTCCATTTTTTGAGGAAAGGCATTTTGACAGCTAGCTGTCAAAATTTAGGGTCTCATTTAAAATTGGGTTTTGACAGGGTGATATGAGGTATTGTGTTACCTGAACCCAGCTACACCCACCACAGTTCGTTACTCATGAACAACTCATGAAAAGGATGTACCACTGGTGAACTTTGTTAGCTTGGCTTGGTTCAGACAGCAAGATAACTCATCTTTTACTGTCAATTTACTATTGAATGTCAGCCCACATTCAACTTCAAACTGAGGTGTTATTTGAACCAGTCACAGACTTAGCTAGTTTGGCTATCTCCTCTCCCCATGGAGTTTGTGGGTTAACAGTAGTGCCATAACCGATCCTAGTTTGACACTTAAGCACACAGGTTCACAGCAAAGGAGGAGATGAAAAGTTTAACTTATAATCCAGAAAAACTTGAATGTGTGCAGTGTTTTAGTCCGGGTAGGAGCAGTGCTTTTCCTAGCATCTGGTCATTGTGATGGCCCTAGAAATTATATTGTCCTTGCTTCCAGTGCGCAGTGAAATGAACATGGATTCTCCTCCTCCTGCAATCCAGGTGCAATTCAGAGTTAATTTCTCATTACAAACTTAATGACTTACATTGTTGTGTGCTGTCTGCTGCTTCCAGCTTCCAGAAGGACAATGCAAGGTGATGATAACACCAGCACGTCTAGTCACACATGCAAGCACTTGTTGCAATCCTCTGCCCCGACCTTGCTGTTTAAGCCCTACAGACTAACATTTTGTGTACCCTCTCTGCTCTTTCATCCCAATTTGAATTTCTGTCACTTCAGCTGAACTGTCACTGTCTGAGAGGGGCTTTTTAAAACTAATTCCTCTCAATTGTGATAATTCCTGAGATTACCTCTCCACCTGTGGGCTTCCTTTTTATGCTCACAGGATTTTGAGGTAAATATTTAACTGAATGTTTGCTTTCTGTCCTTGGAGAGCTCTGTGGGAGCTGAGAATTGCCGCATACCTGTCTGAGCAATACTGAATGGTCAAAGGTAACAGCAAAAAGTACAGGATATGTGGAACCAAGAAGACACAGAGAGACACCAAAATCTCTGGCATGTGCAGTGCATTTAGAATTGCATATATCTGAGTGGACCAGATCTTCTCAGCCTTGCCAGGATGGTCGTCCCGGAGTGGTGGTAAGTTTGAACAGCGAACAACACGGAGACTTACTTTGGGCAAGTTGAACTGCACTGAACAGTTCCGGATTGCAGGCATCTCATGCAATGAACTGGACTGGCAGTAGATCATGGAAGTAAGAGCAGAGTGATATATTGCATAGGAAATACGGGGTCATGGACTCAGAATTACAACAGGGGGAAAGGGGGCATTTGGAGTGGATAATTGGCTGGTGGGATTGGGATACGTAAGCCTCTTTCTTCACCACATGCATTTATGTCCCTCTGCAAATGTTCCCCCCAAACAAGCCTGCCTGGGGAGAACAATGTGATGAGGGTGAGGGCATCTGCAGAGAAGAATTGGTGCATGAAAGCCTACAACCCCCCCACCCAGATTCCCTTGTGCAAATGTTCCTCCTGCTTTTCCACGTACGTACACAGGGTGGTTGAGGTCTGCTCTGGAGGATTGTCAGGAATTGGGCAACATGTTGCACCAAGAACCTTTTAGATTTTGCACCATGTTCCCGCAACAATGCCTCTTTCATTTTCAACCAGTTAAAGGCTCAGTAAGTGCAATGGCAGGGAGAGGACACGGAAGCAGTGTGCATTGTGCACTGCCCGGCCCGGCCCGGCCCTCATGTCTTGTCTCTCCCTTGCTATCCTGCTGTGGTTGGCATGGGCAGTTGGGCCAGCGCTGGGTGAGGCAGGCCCCTTTCTGCAGAGTGCTCTTCCCCCAGCCTTCCTCCTGCCCACTTGTTCTGTCCATTGAGTCCTCACTGCAGTGGCCTCAGAAGCCAAGGGGAAAATGGGGAGGTGGGAGCATGAACTTTTTCCCAGGACTGGCCCTACCGTTAAGCAAAGTGGGGCCGCCGTCTCAGGCAGTGGCGGTTGCTGGAAGACAGCAGGCAGCCACAGCAAAACCTCCTCCAGCTGTTCATGCTGAGTCCCCCAGAACAAGCCCTTCTGTTGGAGGATGCAACAGGGCGGTTGCGTCCTGCGTGGCCTGTCCATCATCCCCTGAACTAAGCTGTTGCACTGGTGCAAGACAGAGCCCTGCCACTCGTGCTGAAATAAAGTTCGGCAACCAGCCTGGTTGGCCTCTGAATGAGGAGCAGGAAGCGTGGCACCACTTTGTCTTTCATCTCCAGGAGCAATATGTCCACCCTGCTCCTCCCACTTCCCCACCCACCACCAGGAGAGTTGTCCCAGGCAGCAGAAGAAGCAGGGCGACGGACCCTGCTGTTTTAAGCAACCCCCCTGCCGCTTTGCTGACTTCCATAGCCTCCTGTCTTCCTGCCCTCTGACAAAATCCCCTCCTGGCATGGTGAGGGACACACAGGAGATGCATCTTCCTTCCCTTGTGATCCTGGAGCTGCCTGGTCCTCTGTGGGCTCTTCTGCACAGGCAGCAACGTGAGGCCTCATTCATGACTGAGCTTTGGCTGGTAGCATTTTCTCCTCACCCTCTGATAGCCCTTCCAGCCTAGGGAGGGGTAAAGTGAAGGGCACACGGTCCTGGCATGCAGTGCACCGAGCCAAGACTTGAATGAAAGCGGTGGACCACCTTCCCATGAGCACGATCAATAAGAGTAGCATGGCGTTGTGTGGCCCGCCATTGCCCTCTTCAGGTCTTCAGTCATAGGAATGCTGTCTTTTGTCATCAACACCCACAGAAGGATCATGAATAGCCTGGAGAGAAAAACAGATGAAAATCGTCTACAGTGGGTTTCTTAATAATTAAATTGAATGCACTGGTATACTCAGGACAAAATATTGACCTAAGATTGGAGAAATCTACATTCAAACTCCTCCTCAGTCATAAAATGGAGGACTTTTTTGGGTAAGCTTTGGGTAAGGCACTGACTGGGTTCAGACAACGTGACAGCCCATACTCAAGGGTTGAGTATGGGTTGTCATTAAACCATGAATTATCATTTTATATGAAACCAGCTATGCTAACAAGTCATGGCTCGTTAACCATGAATGACTCTTAAAGAAAATCCATGCTTTTAGTTGGGTCATGAAAGATGGGTTATTTATCCTGGTTTGTTATCTTGGCCGGGTTCAAACATCACAATAAGCCATATTTCAGCAACAACACATAGTTCAGTGACAGCCCACATTTAAATCCCTTGAGTGTGGGTTTTTGTTTTGTCTGAACCAAGTCATAGTCTTTCAACCTACTCTAACTCACGTGATTGTAGGGAGGACAAAATGGAACAACCCTATTAATAGCCTGAGCTTCATTGCATCATGAGCAAGAGCATGGACCACAGGAGAATCCTATCTTTCCTGTCCAGAAATTCAGTCTATGGTTGGGAGCATATCACACAGTCCATCTGAACTTGCACTCTTAGAAGCATTTACTTAGGAGTAAGCCCTTTTGGACAGTTGACCTTACTTCCACTATTGCCAAGAATATAAATCAGTCATATTATTGGAAAAATTAAAAATGGGAAGGACAGTGACTGAATGAATTAAAGGGAGTTAATTAAAAACAAATACGGTTTATTACTGACTGTCTTAATTTGTCTCTAGAAAATCTGCCATTCCCTACATTTTCTCAGCAGAAACTCCAAGTACAGATAAAGTGTCTGAAATAATTTTTGGAAACTGGAATATTCATCTAGCTTTCTGATATAACTGTTACTTGTGTTTGTGTTTCTTGATTAGGCAGACAAAAAATGAAACATGCACAAGTTCAATAGACTTGGAACTCTTTTTCCATTGTTCGCTTCTTCCCTCAGTAAGTAAACCCAACTTGCTACAAATGGCAGAGGCGTTGTAGGACAAGGCGGCACATTCATCGCTTTTCTTCCCTTCTTGTAGGTTGTCATAATCGTGGTGCTGTCCTGCCTTGAAAAAAGAGCCAGGAGAAGCACCATCGATGAAAGATGTCACCTTCTCAACAGGAGGTGTGCAGTCCTAATGTGAGTCTAGAGAGCCGTTTTGCAACATTTTGTGTGGTCACAACACCAGGTTTTAAGCTGCAAAAATAGAGGCGTGGAGCCTTTGACAAGATTATAGATTTAACTGAGGCAGACCTTAGCAAAAAGCTTGTTTCTGTCTTTTATGCTGGGACAGATCTTACATCCCTGTACCTGCATGTGCAAGATCAAAGGAGGTCTGTTGCCTGCCGGCTGCATGCATCCAGCATGTGAAGGATAGAGTGGAGCATCTTGTTCGCTTCGGGGGTCACCAGCCGCTTCTGGTGATCCATGTGGGGACAAATGACATAGGCAGGGGGTGGGCAGGATCACCAGGGACTTTGAGGCCTTATGGAAGAAACTCAGGGACCTAAAGGCCCAAGTGGCCTTTTCATCTATCTTACTGGTCTGGGGATTTGGGCCAGGCAGGGAAGGAGGGTCGCCAAAGTGAACGACTGGTTTAGGGTGTGGTGCCAGAAGGAATGTTTTGGTTTCCTTAACCATGGCACCTGGTTTCTTGCCAGTGGACTTCTGGCAAGGGACGGGTTGCACCTCACAAGGATGGAGAAAAGGTCCTTTGGAAATGCTCTAGTGAGCTTTGTCCGGAAGACTATAAACTGAGCCGGTGTGGGTAGGTTTAGGCCCCCCCGGAAACTTGTCCACATTGGACAAGTGTGGAGAGAGGATCAGGGCTCTGGGACCAGGGTGTTAGAGGTACTGCAGGAACTGGCAGGACTTCTACGAAGAGGGGGCCGGTATCAGGGAAGGTGGGAGGAAGGAGGAGGCTGGGGATCCTAAAGAAAAGAAGCTGTGGGAAGGAGTTGAGGTGCATATACACCAAATTCTAGGAGCCTGGGTAATAAGCAGGAAGCGTTTGAAGCTCTCCTGGGGATAGGAGGGTATGACCTGGTGAGGATCACAGAAATTTGGTGAGATGAAAGGCAAGACTGGAATGTAAACATGGAGGGGCATCACCTGTTTAGAAAGGACAGGAAGGGAAAGAGGGGTGGGGGCATAGCTTTATATGTCAAGGAAGGGATAGGATGCAGTGAGATAGAATGCAGTGCAGGTGGGGATCTGTTAGAGGGAGTCTGGGTGAAACTAAAGGGTTGTGACTGGGGAGAGGAACCTGACAATGGGGGTATGTTATCGCCCTCCAGGTCAACTTGAGACCCTGGACGATGTCCTGACAGATTCTAAGGATATCTCGGGGGAGGGACACAGTAATTATGGGAGATTTCAATCTCCCGGATATTACTTGGGAGACTCACTCAGCGGTGACAGCCAGGTCACGTCACTTCCTAGATGCTATAGAGCAGTGGTGGCGAACCTATGGCACATGTGCCACAGCGGGCACGTAGAACCCTCTCTGTCAGCACGCGAGCCAAGTCGCCCCAACATCGCCCCAGCAACCGAGCATTGAATAACAGTGCACATAGGGGCCATGCGCATGCTTGGAAAGGAGTAGTGGTGCCAGGCGATGACATCACGTGCCACGACTCATTAGCTGCGACTCGTTCGAGCTTTCTCATGGCCGGTCAGTGCACTGCCAAGGATGGATGGATGGATGGATGGATGGATGGATGGATGGATAGATAGATATGCTTGGACTGGCTGTGAGTTGTTTTTTCTAAACTAAAACCTCAGTTTTATTTTATTTATTTATAGCATTTTTATGCCGCCCCCATCGCAGAAAGCCTTGGGGTGGCTTACAAAGAAAATAAACAACGTAAGATAGAATAACATTAAAAATTCGGAGCATCTCGGCAATAGTTTAAAACCAATAAATAAAAACAACAATTAACAATTAAAATATCATTTAAATAAAAAGGTCTTGGCCTGGCACCGAAAAACAAATAACCATGGCGCCAGGCAGACTTCTCTGGGGAGTGCATTCTATAGGTGGGGCGCCACCGCAGAGAAGGCCCTCCTCGGGGTACTCACCCTCCTAATATCCTTCACGGAAGGCTCCCAGAGAAGGGCCTCCTCCACCGATCTCGGGGGACGGGAGGGCATATATGGACGCAAGCACTCCTTTAGATAACCAGGTCCCAAGCCGTTGAGGGCTTTATAGGTGATAACCAACACCTTGAATTGGGCCCGGACTTCAATGGGGAGCCAGTGAAGCTGACGGAGAACTGGGGTTATATGAGAACAATGCCCAGTCTCTGTCAGCAACCTGGCAGCAATATTTTTCACCAATTGAAGTATCCGGACTGTCTTCAAGGGCAGCCCCACGTAGAGTGCGTTACAGAAGTCTAATCGGGAAGTTACCAATGCATGTGTCACAGTTGCCAGGCAGACTTTCTCCAGGTAGGAACATGGCTGATGGATCAGCTAAAGCTGAAGGAAGGCGCTCCTTGCCACTGCTGTTACTTGAACTTCTAATGACAGCTCTGGGTCGAGGAGCACTGCCAAGCTGTGATCCCTGTCCCTAAGAGGGAGTGCAACCCCGTTCAGGACAAGGTCCAGGTCCCCCATCCTGAAGCCCGACCCACCTACCAGCAGGGCCTCCTTCTTGTCTGGATCGAGCCTCAGTTTATTGGCCCTCATCCAGCCCATTACCTCGGCCAGGCATCGGTTCAGTACAGCGACCGCCTCAACTGGATTAGTTGAGAATGAGCGGTAGAGCTGGGTATCATCAGCGTACTGATGATTCTGCAGCCCACACCTCCTAATGACCTTTCCCAGCGGTTTCATGTAGATGTTGAATAGCAAGGGGGACAAGATGGACCCCTGCGGAACTCCATGGCATAGCAGCCATGGCGCAGAGCCATAGTCCCCCATGCTATTCAACATCTACATG